CTTTCTGATGTCCTTTGATGTGAACTACGGCTATCTTCAATGGTTCTCTTAATGCTTTCAGGACTTCTAAGATTAATTTCTCATGAACTAATCCCTTTCCTTGAGTATTAACCAGGCCTCTCTCTTCCCAGATTTTTCCAAAGGTATGTACCACCCCGAATGCATATTTTGAGTCCGTATATATGGTTCCAATCTTATTTTCCAGGAGCTTTAACGCTCTCAAAATGGCGTATAATTCACATGCTTGCGCGGACCAGGCTTTATTCAATGGCCCTGATTCTTTTACTTGGAAAGTATATCCATCTATGATGGCGTATCCTGATTTCTGTTGCCCTTTGACCACGCGTGAGGAACCGTCTACAAATAATTTTTTGCCTTCGTCTAATTTGTCTTCCTCTAGATCTTCTCTTATTTTTTGTCTGCAAGCTTATTAATTGGAGGCAATCATGTGTTAAATTTTCTTTAGGCTCCCCGTACAAAAATTGGGCTGGATTCTGAATAGAGGTTGTTTCCATTTGTAGCCTAGGGGAGTTAATTAAAATTCCCTTATATTTCAATAACCGACTGTCTGTGAGCCACTTGTCCGCTTGTTGTTGTAACACCCCCCGGATGTTATGTGGAGTATACACTTTCAATTCACCCCCTAGAGTAACTTTCCCAACCTCTTCTGCTAATAATGCAGTAGCCATTATCGCCTGTAAACATGTGGGCCACCCCCGACTCACAGGGTCTAATATCTTAGAATAATACCCCACAGGTTTCCTTTGCCCTGCCCATCCTTGGGTCAGAACTCCATAAGCGGTCCCTTTATCTACATTAATAAAAAGCTGAAAAGGTTTACGAATGTCAGGTAAACTGAGGACGGGTGCTTCTGTTAGATCTCTTTTTATAATTTCCCAATGCTCCTCATCCTCCATCCTCAGGGGTCCATTTCACCAGTCCATTTTTAGTTAATTTTTCATATAAGAATTTCACCTTACTGCTATAATTTTCTATCCATTGCCGGCAATACCCTAATAATCCCAATAACTGTTGTATTTGTCTTTTAGTAGTGGGTGCTGTCAAGGACAGAATCCCTTTAACTCTCTCAGGATCCAATTTCTTATAACCCTTTGTAAGCCAATGTCCCAGGTATTTTACTTCTTCTTCAGTAAACTATAATTTAGGCTTGGAGACTTCTAGTCCTTTGAGACCCAGGAAGTTTAACAATTTGATACTTTAATTCCTGACTTCTTCTTGAGTTCTTCCAGCGACTGGTAAATTGTCTACATACTGTATTAGAATCAATTCCTTATTTAATTCGTAAGACTCTAATAGTTGTTCTAAAGCTTGTCCAAATAAATTCGGAGATTCTGTAAACCCCTGGGGTAAGACAGTCCAGCGTAATTGTTGTTTCCTGTGAGTCTCAGGGTCTTCCTATTCAAAAGCAAAGTAATCTCTACATTTTTCCTCCAGGGGACAAGCCCAAAAGGCATCTTTTAAATCTATAACACTATACCATTTGTAATCTGGACTCACTTGGTTAAGGATAGTGTGTGGGTTGGCTGCTACAGGGGAACGAGTAATAGTTTGTTCATTGACCGCTCTCAAATCCTGTATAAGACGATAGGACCCGTCCGCCTTCCTTACCGGCAGGATCGGGGTATTGTGAGGGGACATACAAGGTTCTAAGAGACCTTGAGCTAAAAGTCTCTCTATTATTGGTTTTAATCCCTCCCTTCCTTCTCTAGAGATGGGGTATTGTTTCATTGTAATTGGCCAGTCCGGGTCCCTGATAGATATGGTTATTGATTTTATATTTAATTTCCCTACTGACTCCGAGTCATACCATGTTTCTGGGTTGATTTTCGCTTCATCCTCTGCGGTTAAGGCATAGAGCCTCACCTTTAGTTTTTCTTGGTCTATTTCCAGGTTAACCCCTAATTTTACCATTAAGTCCCATCCCAGGAGATTGTATTCAGCCTCTGGGACTAATAAAAACGTTCCTATCCTGTATTTATTGGGGGTTTCTGTTGTCACATCTTTCACCAATGGAACTCTAAAAGGTTCACCTTTTGCTCCAATTACTTGTAATTTTTCCTTTGATTCCGTACAGCCCGATGGTAAACGCTGAACAGTTGATCTTTCAGCGCCCGAATCTACCAAAAATTCAAACACTTCGTGCTGGGGTCCCAGTTTTAATTTTATCAAGGGCCCCGTGGTCTTAGAGGTCCTCAGCAGATGGAGCCCCTGACCTCCCTAATCTTCCTTAAAGACCTCCTCATCCTGCATTCTCTTTCTGCAGTTTTTCTTTAGATGTCCCTTTTTATGACAGTAAAAACACTCCATATTCTGCAGGTCCGGTCTCCTATTTCCCACAGGATTCTTTCGGGGGCTCTCCTTTCTCCTATCATGATTTTGTCCTTCTCTCACGGCTGTCATCAGGATTCTGGCCTGCCTCTTTTGGCTTTCCTCCTCTCTTCTTACGTACACCCTCTGAGCTTCTCGTAATAACTTGTCTAACCCTTTGTCTTGCCAGTCTTCTATTTTCTCTAGTTTTTTTCTTATATCCGTCCAGGATTTAACCACAAACTGGGTCTTAAGTAGGGCCTGACCCACCGGACTATCAGGGTCCAGACCCAAATATAATTGCAAGCCCTTCCTTAGATGCTCTAACCATTCAGTGGGGGTCTCGTCCTTCTTTTGTTGTTCATTGAAGGCCTTATTAATATTCTGCCCCCTTGGTACTGAATCTCTAATTCCTTGAATTATCATGTCTCGGAGGTCGATCATATTATTTCTATGGACCGGGTCTTGATTATCCCAATTAGGTCGCTGGGGGGGCCACTTTGTATCCCCAGCGGGTCCTTGTTGATGTCTTTGGTCCCAGTGTCTCATCCCAGCGGTTCTGATCATTCCTCGTTCCTCACTAGTAAACAGGATTCTCGAGATGGATTCCATCTCGTCCCAGGTGTAAATATTTGGGCCAAGGAACTGATCAAACCATTCTGCCACCCCTAGAGGGTCCTCCAATAAGTGTCCCATTTATTTTTTTTCTTAAATTCTCTCACATCCCCGGAGCTGAGTGGGATGGATACAAAACCAGCTCCAGGCTGGGGTCCTCCCATTGCTGTTTCCCTTAACGGATATAATAATGTTTCCCTTCTGCTTTCCCGAGTCTGACTTCTAGTCGTCCTCCTAGGTGGAGGAGGAATTACTGCCTCATCAGACTCAGAATTTAATTTTTTAATTAACGGGGACTCTGGGGGAGTGGAGGGAGAAGAATTCCGCCCAGAGTCTTGGGGCGGATTAAAAGGGGGAACATAGGGAGGAGGAGGAGGTGGAGTGTCATCTATATCCTTATTTTTCTTGTTGTTTTTCTTTTCCTTTAGCGGAAATAAATTTGAGGTTTGTGATGTACTTAGAATCCATAAGAAAGCGTATTCACTCTCCTCCTTATTAAATGGCTGTTTGTCATTTACCTAAATATTGAATTGTTGACATCTCCAATCTTCGAAAGAGCCATAAACTGGCCAATATAAATCCCTTCTTATCTCCTTCCCCCCCCCCCCATACTTCCATACAATAATGGATCATCTTTTCCTTAGATTTTTTCCCTTCGGGAGGGGGAACTATCCCAACGCTGAATCACGAGCCCTAACGGACTACCTGGGGGTATTTTAGGGAGCTCTGTCACACGAGTCCCTCGCTTTCCCCCGTCCGTGGCCCCCGCCCTCGCGGGCAGTGGGAACCGCACTAGTGGGAGGTCCACGCTCCCTTCGCCCCTTGGACTCCTAAACCCGGCGGACGCCTCGGTCACTCACCCTCCGGGGACCCAGTCCCCAACCGAACGGTATCGCGATATACTCACTCAGTCCAGAGTCTTCATTCAGTCTTCGTGCACAAATATTCCGGGGAACGGCCGTCTTGGGGTGTTAGCGGGGAGCCCAATCCCCCACCCCGTATCCTCTTTGCTCTCCTATCTCGGTTTGGAAAATCCAGATGAGCTCGGTCGGGATTCCCCCCGGGACCATCCAAGGATGGGGCGCCCTCCCAGAGCTGAATTCCGAGTCAGCTGTCTGGATCCGAGTCACGGCACCGAATTTTGTTATAGGTAGATTAAGGCAAATCACACCCAAATATGGATTAATGAATCTTTATGAAGGTAAGAGAGCAAATGCAGCGCTGGGGTGGCCGAGGAGTCGCAGCTCCGTCCAGGCTCACCAAATTGTTTAAGTTAAAACCCCACTTTTTATCCACACAGCTGCCGGTTTCTTATCTTCCTCTTTCTTCTCCTCGCTTCATATAATCTTAACAAAGCAGTTAGCTACAAATTTCGTTAACACAAGCTGCTTCCCATGCTTTTGGTTACCCAGGGTCTTACTCGAGATATGTTGCTATAGAAACATAACCTTGTGGTTTCTTTAATGTTTACTCATATATCAATGTTACAGAAGCCATGCTTTGTTCCCTTCTCAGACGGGATGTAACCGTTTGGTTTCAATATCTTGAGCAGGGGCCCCCAACCGTAGGTAGAACAACTTGTTTTTCTTGTCTGATTACTTAATACTTTCCCTATTAAGCTCCCTAAGCAAAGCAAGAAATTCAAAGGTTAAATTCTTAACATTCAGCAAATTATCTTTTAACTATGTATAACATCAGGACCCCCAAAAAGTTCCATCTCTGTCCCTAAATCCTCCCAAAATGTCCCCAAACACCCCACAGGACCCCCACAAAAGTCCCATCGTTGTCCCTAAATCCCCCCCAGGACCCCCAAAATGTCCCCAAATCCGCTCAGGATACCCCCTCTCCTCCCCGCCCCCCCCCCCCAAAAAGGTGCCGGCGGGCACTAGGACCCGGCGGAGCCCCTCCCCCTTCCCGCCGTCGGAAGGCACTTCCGCCCGGCCCGGGGCGGGGCGCTGACTTCGGGTGGGTGGAGGCACATGCGCGGCGCCCGGGAAGGGGCGGGGCTGGCAGGGAGGCGCTTCCGGTTCCGGGGGGGCGACGCGTGCGGCCCCGCGTGGAGCAGCGGCGGGATGAGGCCAGGTTCGAACTGGGAGGAACTGGGGGGGGGGGGGGGGGGGCGTGATTGGGAGCTACTGGGGGTCAACTGGGAGGGATTGGGGGGCGTTAGAGGGTGACAGGGGTATACTGGGAGCCACTGGGAGGGACTACGGGGGGGACTGGGGGGGCACTAGGGGGTGACTGGGGGGGACTGGGGGTGCGCTAGGCCGTGACTGGGAGATACTGGGAGACAGTGGGAGGGACCAGGGGGTGACTGGGGGACACTGGGAGAGACTGGGGGCACTAGGGGTGACTGGGAAATACTGGGGGGCACTGGGGGGTGACTGGGTGGGACTGGGAGCGACTGGGGGGCACTGGGGGGTGACTGGGAGCGACTGGGGGGCACTGGGGGGTGACTGGGAGGGACTGGGAGCGACTGGGGGGCACTGGGGGGTGACTGGGAGATACTGGGAGCAACTGGGGGGCACTGGGGGGTGACTGGGAGCGACTGGGGGGCACTGGGGGGTGACTGGGAGGGACTGGGAGCGACTGGGGGGCACTAGGGGTGACTGGGGGGCACTGGGGGGTGACTGGGAGCGACTGGGGGGCACTAGGGGGTGACTGGGAAATACTGGGAGCGACTGGGGGGCACTAGGGGGTGACTGGGAAATACTGGGAGTGACTGGGGGGGCTGGGGGGGCTGGGGTGTACTGGGAAGCACTAGGTGACTGGGAGATACTGGAGGGTACTGGGAGGGGGATGGGGTGTGCTTGGGGGGTAACTGGGAGGGACTGGGAAGGCTAGATGTAACTGGAGTTCAACTGGAAGGGTGGTGGGAGGGTGCTTGGGCCAAACTGGGCCGACTGGGAGCCCGGCGGGGGGTGACTGGGAGCCTCCTGCCGCCGCCCCAGTGCTCCCAGTTGCCCCAGTCTGATGCCATCCCCGCAGGTTTCAGCCCCCGGGGAGGGCGCGGCGGCTTCCGGGGGGGCCGAGGTGAGCGGGTCCCCTCCCAGTAAGGCCCATCCTGCCTCTACTGGGAACCCCCTTTCCCCCCGCATGCCCAGTTTCCCCTCCCAGTATGCCCAGTCCCCTCAAAGTTCTCCTCCTGCCTGCCCTTTTCCCCCCCAGTTCTCTCCCAGTATGCCCAGTTCCCCCAACTACCCCCCAGTTCCCTCCCAGTCCCCTTCCCAGTCTGTTCACTTCCCCTCCCAGTATGCCCAGTTTTTCTTCCAGTATGGATCATTCCTGCCCAGTCTCACTCCCAGTTTGCCCAGTTCCCCCCACATACCCCCCAGTTCTCCTCCCAGTATGCCTAGTTCCCTTTCCAATACCTCCAGTATACCCCAGTTCCCCTCTCAGTATGCCCAGTTCCCCCCCAGTGCCCCCTAATCCCCCTCCCAGCGTGCCCAGTCCCCCCCAATTCCCTCCCAAATATCCACCAGTCACTTCCCATTTCCTCCCAGTCCCCCTCCCAGCATACCCAGTCACCCCCACTTCCTCTCCCAGTACGCCCAGTTCCCCCCTAAATACGCACCAGTCCACTCCTATTCCCCCCCAGTCCCCCTCCCAGCATGCCCAGTCGCCCCCAGTTCCCCTCCCAGTATGCCCAGTTCCCTCCCAAATATCCACCAGTCACTTCCCATTTCCTCCCAGTCCCCCTCCCAGCATACCCAGTCGCCCCCAGTTCCCCTCCCAGTATGCCCAGTCCCCCCCAATTCCCTCCCAGGCCCCCCCCAGCATGCCCAGTCCTCCCCAGTCCCCCTCCAAATACCAAGCAGTCCCCTCCCAGTCCCCCTCCCCGCATGCCCAGTCCCTCCCAGTTCCCCCAGTAAACCCAGTTGCTGTTGGCAGGTGGTGGCTTCCAGCCCCGGGGGGGCCCCCGGGGGGGCGGGGCCCGGGGGCGGGGGAGGGGTGGCCCCGCCCGGGGCGGGAGAGGTGGCCGCGGCGGCTTCCGAGGGGGGAAGAAGGTGACGGTGGAGCCGCATCGACATGAAGGTACCCGGGGGGGGGGTGGGTGTGTTTATGGGGGGCCTGTGGGGCAGATTGGGGGGGTTATGGGGCCGTTTTGGGGGGCTGGGGGGGTTATGGGGGGCTATGGGGCAGATTTGGGGGGTTATGGGGTGGTTTGGGGGGGGCGATGGGGCAGAATGGGGGGGTTTTGGGGGGATGGGGGGGTTATGGGGGGCTATGGGGCAGATTGGGGGGGAGTTATGGGGCAGTTGGGGGGCACTGACCCCCCCCCCCCCCCCGCCGCCGCCAGGGGTGTTCATCTGCCGCGGGAAGGAGGACGCGCTGGTGACCCGGAACCTCGTCCCGGGGGAGTCAGTCTATGGGGAGAAGAGGATCTCGGTGGAGGTACTGGGAGGGACCTGGGGGCAACTGGGAGGGACCTGGGGGCAACTGGGAGGGACCTGGGGGCAACTGGGAGGGACTAGGAGGGACTGGGAGGGGCGGAGGGGCAACTGGGAGGGAGTAAGGAGAGACTGGGAAGGAACTGGGGTTGGTTAGGAGATACTGGGGGTAACTGGGATGGACTGGGAGAGGTGGAGTAGATCACCAGAACCTTCTTAGACTCTGTACTGGGAGCGCTGGGAGGTGGAACTGGTGGGCACTGGGAGGCTGGGGGTGTCTCAGTGGGGGGGTGACGTGTCCCCCAGTGTCCCCGTCCCCAGGGTGGGTGACACCAAGGTGGAGAACATCTCCAGAACCTCCTCAGAGCCCATACTGGGAGCACTGGGAGCTGGCACTGGTGGCACTGGGAGCACTGGGAGGTGGCACTGGGTGCCCACGGAATGTCCTGGGTGGGGGGTGACGTGTCCCCCAGTGTCCCCGTCCCCAGGGTGGGTGACACCAAGGTGGAGAACATCTCCAGAACCTTCTCAGAGCCCAGACTGGGAGCACTGGGAGGGGACTGGCTGAGGGTGACACGTGACGTGTGTGTCCCCGTCCCCGTGTCCCTGTCCCCAGGACGGTGACACCAAGGTGGAGTACCGCGCCTGGAACCCGTTCCGCTCCAAGTTGGCAGCGGCCATCTTGGGTGGCATCGACCAGATCCACATCCGCCCGGGGACGAAGGTCCTTTACCTGGGCGCGGCCTCGGGGACAACCGTGTCCCACGTCTCCGACATCGTGGGACCGGTAAGGACACGGGCCACCGCGCCCTTGGGGACATCAGCGAGGGGTCGCGGGGTGAGGGGACAACAGGACAGGGTCATCAACCCCATGGGACAACCTGGAGGTGGCACCTTGGATGTTCTGGAGAACATTTGGGGACGTCACCATGGGGTGAGGGGACAAGGTGGTGGCACTGTGACCCCTTGAGGACATCACTGTGGGGTCACGGGGTGAGGAGACACCGGGACGGGGTCATCAACCCCATGGGACAAACTGGAGGTGGCACCTCGGATGTTCTTGAGAACATCCTTGAGGTCGTTTGGGGACATCGCTGTGGGGTCAGGGGACATTCCAGTGGCACTGTGACCCCTTGGGGACATCGTTGTGGGGTCACGGGGCGAGAGGACACCAGGGCGGGGTCGTCAACCCCCATGGGACAACCTGGAGGTGGCACGTCGGATGTTCTGGAGAACGTTTGGGGACGTCACCGTGGGGTGAGGGGACATTCTGGTGGCACTGTGACCCCTTGGGGACATCGCTGTGGGGTGAGGGGACATTCTGGTGGCACTGTGACCCCTTGGGGACATTGCTCTGGGGTCATCAACCTCATGGGACAACCTGGAGGTGGCACCTCAGATGTTCTTGCGAACATCCTTGAGGTCGTTTACGGACATTGCTGTGGGGTGAGGGGACATTCTGGTGGCACTGACCCCTTGGGGACATCGCCATGAGGTCTCTGGGTGGGGGGACGTGTCTTGGGGACACCTGGGATGTCCCCAGGGGTGGTGGCACCGTGTCCTGGCGGTGTCCCCCACCCCGCTGTCCCCGTCCCCAGGAGGGGCTGGTTTACGCCGTCGAGTTCTCCCATCGCTCGGGCCGGGACCTCATCAACGTGGCCAAGAAACGCACCAATGTCATCCCCGTCATCGAGGACGCCCGCCACCCCCACAAATACCGCATGCTGATTGGTGAGCCGGGGGGGGGGGTGGGGCCAGCAGGGGGCGGGGCCGGTCCTGCGGAAGAATTTGGGGGGTCTTGGGAAGGTCTAGGAGAAGATTTTGGGGGTCTTCAGGGTGTTCTGGAAGTCTGGGAGAAGGTCTGGAGGCAGCTCGAGGTATCTGTGGAGGTTCTTGAGGTGATTTTGGGTGTTTTGGGGGATCTGAGGTGGATTTTGGGGTGTTTTGGGAGACCTGGAGAAGAATTTGGGGGTTTTGGGAAGGTCTAAGAGAAGATTTTGGTGGTCTTCAAGGTCTTTTGGAGGTTTGGGAGAAGGTCTGGAGACACCTCAATGTATCTGGTGAAGGTTCTTGAGGTGATTTTGGATCTCGATGAGGTTTCTGAGGTAATTTTGGATTTCTTGAGGGATCGGAGGTGGGTCTGGCAGCATTTGAGGGTTCTAGAGAAGAATCTGGGGCTCTTGGGAAGGTTTAGGAGAAGATTTTGGGAGTCATCAAGGTCTTTTGGGGGTTTGGGAGAAGGTCTGGTGGCACCTCGAAGTATCTGATGGAGGTTTTTGAGGTGATTTTGGATCTCAATGAGGTTTCTGAGGTAATTTTGGATTTTTGGGGGGATCTGAGGTGGGTTTGGCAGCATTTGAGGGTTCTATAGAAGAATTTTGATCTCTTGGGAAGGTCTAGGAGAAGATTTTGGGAGTCTTCAGGGTGTTTTGGAAGTTTGGGAGAAGTTCTGGAGGCAGCTCGAGGTATCTGATGGAGGTTCTTGAGGTGATTTTGGGTGTTTTGGGGGATCTGAGGTGGATTTTGGGGTGTTTTGGGAGACCTGGGGAAGAATTTGGGGGTTTTGGGAAGGTCTAAGAGAAGATTTTCGTGGTCTTCAGGGTGATTTTGAAGTTTGGGAGAAGGTCTGGAGGCACCTCAAGGTATCTGATGAGGTTTCTGAGGTAATTTTGGATGTTTTGAGGGCTCGGAGGTGGGTCTGGCAGCATTTGAGGGTTCTAGAGAAGAATCTGGGGCTCTTGGGAAGGTTTAGGAGAAGATTTTGGGAGTCATCAAGGTCTTTTGGGGGTTTGGGAGAAGGTCTGGTGGCACCTCGAAGTATCTGATGGAGGTTTTTGAGGTGATTTTGGATCTCAATGAGGTTTCTGAGGTAATTTTGGATTTTTTGGGGGATCTGAGGTGGGTCTGGCAGCATTTGAGGGTTCTAGAGAAGAATTTGGGGCTCTTGGGAAGGTCTAGGAGAAGATTTTGGAGCTTTTCGTGGTGTTTTGGGTCCCCCTCACCTTGGGGTGTCCGTGTCCCGCCCCAGGCATGGTGGACGTGATCTTCGCGGACGTGGCGCAGCCCGACCAGACCCGGATCGTGGCCCTGAACGCCCACAACTTCCTGCGCAACGGCGGCCACTTCGTCATCTCCATCAAGGTACCAGTACGCTCCAGTCCCCGCCAGTCCCCAGCACTGGGAACCAACACTGAGCTGCAGCAGGGCAACAGGAAGCAGAAAAGGGACGGGAGGAGACAGTAACGACCAGTCATGTGGCACTGGAAACCAGTAAGGACCAGTATTAGATCACTAGAAACCAGTCAGGACCAGTGATGGGGCCCTGGGAATCAGGAACAGACAACTGGGAACCAGTATGGTCCAGTGTCAGGTCATTAGGAATGAATAAGGAGTAGTGATGGGGCACTGGGAACCAGTAAGGACCAGTATTAGATCACTAGAAACCAGTAAGGACCAGTATTAGATCACTAGAAACCAGTAAGGACCAGTATTAGATCACTAGAAACCAGTAAGGACCAGTGTTAGATCACTAGAAACCAGTAAGGACCAGTGTTAGATCACTAGAAACCAGTAAGGACCAGTGTTAGATCACTAGAAACCAGTAAGGACCAGTGTTAGATCACTAGAAACCAGTAAGGACCAGTGTTAGATCACTAGAAACCAGTAAGGACCAGTGATGGGGCCCTGGGAACCAGTAGACCTCCAGAACCTGCCCGATCTCCTTCAAAGCCCCGCCCCCATATCCAAGCCCCGCCCCCCCACCTAATCTCCCAGTCAAAGCCCCACCTCCAAACCACGCCCCTCAGCCAAGCCCCGCCCCTCTCACCACGCCCCACCCATCCCTACAAACCCAGCCCACTCACCTCCCTTCTCCCTTTGCCCTGTCCTCCCCTGCTGAGCCGTGGCCCCCAATAAGCCACGCCCCTCCCGCCTCTAAACCCCACCCCCATGAACAAGCCCTGCCTACCCCAAACCCCGCCCCTCACCCAAGCCCTGCCTCCTATGCCTCCCCCCACCCTATCTCACCTCCAAACCCCACCCCCTGGCCAAGCCGCGCCTATCAGTTCACCTACCCAATCCCCAACCCAAACCACGCCCCCCTTGCCAAGCCCCGCCCCATCTCTCCAAACCCCGCCCCCCTCCCCTGCCTTCCCCCTGCCCTGTTCTCCCCATCAAGCCCCTCCCATGCTAAGCCCCGCCCTCTCACAAACCATGCCCTCTGACCAAACCCCACCCCCTGGCCAAGCCCCGCCTACCAGTTCACCTACCCAATCCCCAACCCAAACCACGCCCCCCTTGCCAAGCCCCGCCCCATCTCTCCAGACCCCGCCCCCCTCCCCTGCCTTCCCCCTGTTCTCCCCATCAAGCCCCTCCCATGCTAAGCCCCGCCCTCTCACATACAAACCATGCCCTCTGACCAAGCCCCGCCCACCTGCTCACCCACCCCAAGCCCCACCCCCTTTCTAAGCCCTAGCCCATCACTCCCAGCCCCACCCTCCTTCCCCCTTTGCCTTGCTCTCCTGCACCAAGCCCCGCCCCCCTGGACAAGCCCTGCCCCCCCATTCAGCCACCCCAAGCCCTGCCTTGAAGCCACGCCCCTCTGCCAAGCCACACCCCCTCTCCAAGCCCCTCCCTCCTTCCCCATTGCCCTGCTCTCCCCTGCCAAGCCCTGCCCATTCAGCCATCCCAAGACTGATCCCCAAGCCCCGCCCCCTTTCCAAGCCCCGCCCCATCTCTCCCAGCCCCGCCCCTTCCCTCTTGCCCTGCTCTCCCCTTTCCAAGTCCCGCCCCCTTTCCAAGCCCCGCCCCATCTCTCCCAGCCCCGCCCCTTCCCTCTTGCCCTGCTCTCCCCTTTCCAAGCCCCGCCCCCTCTCCAAGCCCCGCCCCATCTCCCAGCTCCACCCTCCTTCCCCCCCTTGCCCTGCACTCCCCCCCCCCCCCCCGGCCCAGCCCCGCCCCCGGTGGGCGGGTCTGAGGGCGGCCCCGCCCCCAGGCCAACTGCATTGACTCGACGGCGCCAGCGGAGGCCGTGTTTGCGGGGGAGGTGCGCAAGATGGCGGGGGAGCGGCTGCGGCCCCAGGAGCAGCTCACGCTGGAGCCCTACGAGAGGGACCACGCCGTGGTGGTGGGCGTCTACCGGTGCGACTGGGAGGGGACTGGGTGAAGCTAGGAGGGACCGGGACAGACTGGGAGGCGATGGGAAGGGAATTGGGAGGCGATGGGAGGGAACTGGGAGGCGCGGGGCGTGGATCGGGTGAGGCTGGGAGGGACTGGGAAGGGGTTGGGAGGCGATGGGAGGGCATCGGGTGAGGCTGGGAGGGATGAGGGGGGCACTGGGAGGGGACTGGGTGAAGCTAGGAGGGACTGGGACAGACTGGGAGGCACTGGGGAGGGATTGGGAGGCGATGGGAGGGAATTGGGAGGCGCTGGGCGTGGATCGGGTGAGGCTGGGAGGCACTGGGACAGACTGGGAGGGGCTTGGGTGGCGCTGGGAGGGGCTTGGGTGGTGCTGGGAGGGGCTAAGGGGGACTGGGAGGGGCTACATGGGGGTGTGTCTATAGGTGGCACTGGGAGGGCACTGGGATGAACTGGGCGGAGCCAAAGGGGGGGGTCATGTGACCGGTGTGCCCCTCCCCCTTGTCCCCAGGCCCCCCCCCAAACAGAAGTGATGCCTCTTCCCTTCAACCCCCCCTCCCGCGGGGGGGGGGCGGATCCTGCCCGGGGGGGGGGGAGTGGGCGGGGCTTCTGCCCCTCCCCCCCCCTCCCCCCTTCACTTTTGGGGCAAATTGTGGCGATTTTGGGGTTTTTTGTGTTTTTTTTTTTGGGGGGGGGGGAGGGCAGAAAGAGTGGGTTATTAAAATAAAGGGAAAAATACAGTTTGTGGTTGGGGGAGGTAATTAAATCTTGAAGGGGTTAATTAATCCCTGGGGGGTGGTAATTAATCCCCGGGGGGTTAATTAATCTGGGGGGAGGGTAATTAATCCCTGGGGGAACAAATAGGGGGTTAATTAAGGGGCAATTAACCCCTGGGGGGGTGCGGGGGGGGGGGTGTGGGTGGTGTTAATTAGTCCTGGGGGGGGGGGGATTAATTAGCCCATGGGGTGGGGGGTGGGGGGGCAGAGGAAGAAGATTTATTAGCCCCTGGTGGGTTTAATTGGTCCCTGGGGGGGGTGTTAATTAGCCCTTGTGGAGTCAATTAGTCCCTGGTTGATGTTAATTAAGACCTTGGGGGTCAATTATTCCCAGGTTGTTAATTACTCTGGGAGGGCAGTTAATCCTTTGGGGGGGCTGTTAATTATCCCCTGGTGGGGTTAATTAGACTGTGAGAGGTGTTAATTACTCTGGGAAGGCAGTTAATGGAGGGGGGTGTTAATTAGCCGCTGGGGGGCGTTAATTAGCCCATGGGAGGGTTAATTAGCCCCTCTGGGTGGGTTAATTACCCCGGGGGGATGATGGGGGCGGGAGGAGCCTTCCCCTCCCCCGCCGCTGAGGGGCGGGGCAGAAGGGGGCGTGGTTTGGCGGCGCCCCACCCCTACCCGGAGCCGGGGGCGTGGCTACGCCGAAGGCCCCGCCTCCCCTCTGGGCGCCGGGAGGGGCGGGCGCACCGCCGTGATGGATGGGTGAGGATGGGCCGGAGCGGCACTCTGATTGGTCGGGCGCACCCCGGCTCACTCGCCGCTGATTGGTGGAGGGCGGGGGGCGGGCGGCGCCTGCGCCCGCTGGCGGAGCGGCGGCGGCGGTTTGTTGTGGCCGCCATTTTCCCTGGGCATTACTGGGAAATTCGCCGCAGCTCCCGCTCCCGTTCCCGCCGCTTCCCGGCCCCGGCCCCGGCCCCGCCGCTCCCGCTCCCGGCCCCGCCGCCTCCGCCCAGCGCCGCCGCCGCCGCCGCAGGTGAGACCCTTTCCCGCCCCCCTCCCCCCCCCCCCCCCCCCCCTCCACGGTCCCCTCAGGGCCCGGCTGCGCCCTCAGGGCCCGAACCGGGGGAGGGGGGGGGCAGGTACCGGCTCCCCCCGGGCTCCCAGTGCCCGGCACTGGCACCAGTATGGCCCTGCCAGCACCAGCACGGGCTCCTCAGGACCAGTACGAGCTCCTCAGGACCAGTATGGCCCTGCCAGCACCAGTACGGGCTCCTCAGGACCAGTACGAGCTCCTCAGGACCAGTATGGCCCTGCCAGCACCAGTATGGGCTGCTCAGGACCAGTATGGCCCTGCCAGTAACAGTGTGGGCTCCTCAGGACCCACATGGCCCTCCCAGTAACTGTGTGGGCTCCTCAGGACCAGTATGGCCCTGCCAGCACCAGTACGGGCTCCTCAGGACCAGTACGGGCTCCTCAGGACCAGTATGGCCCTGCCAGCACCAGTACGGGCTCCTTAGGACCAGTATGGTCCTCCCAGTACCAGTATGGGCTGCTCAGGGCCAGTATGGCCCTCCCAGTAACAGTGTGGGCTCCTCAGGTCCAGGTTGGCCCTCCCAGTAACAGTGTGGGCTCCTCAGGTCCAGGTTGGCCCTCCCAGTACCAGTATGGGCTCCTCAGCACCAGTATGGGTTCCTCAGGACTGGTATGGTCCTCCCAGTAACAGTATGTCCCTCTCAGTACCAGTATGGGTTGCTCAGGACCAGTATGGGCTCCTCAGACTGGTATGGCCCTCCCAGTAACAGTATGGGCTCCTCAGACTGGTATGGCCCTCCCAATAACAGTATGGGCTCCTCAGCACCAGTATGGGTTCCTCAGGACCAGTATGGCCCTCCCGGTAACTCTATGGGTTCCTCAGAACTGGTATGGCCCTCCCAGAACCAGTATGGGTTGCTCAGGACCAGTATGGCCCTCCCGGCACCCATATGGGTTCCCCAGGATCAGTATGGCCCTCTCAGAACCAGTACAGATTGCTCCGGACCAGTATGGCCCTCCCATGACCGGTACAGACTTCCCGGGACCAGTATGGCCCTCCCCATACCAGTATGGATTTTTCAGAACCGGTATAGCTCTTCCCATACCAGTAGGGACTCCTCAGCACCAGTATGACCATCCCAGTACAAACATGACCCTCCCTATCCCAGTATGGATTGCCTGGGACCAGTATGACCCAGTGCCATTATGGATTCCCCAAGACTGGCATGAGTCCCTGTATCAGTATGACCCTGCCACTACCAGTATCGATTCCCCAAGACCAGTATGACCCTCCCCATACCAGTATGGATCCCCCAGGACCATTATGATTCTCCCAGTACCAGTACATATTCCTCAGAACCAGTATGACCCAGTATCAGTATGGATCCTGTGGGACTAGTGTGACCCTCCCATTACCAGTAGGGATTCCCCAGTACCAGTCTGACCCTCCCAGTACCAGTAGGGATTCCTCAGGACCAGTATGACTCTCCCAGTACCACCATGGCTCTCTCAGTACCAGTATGGATCCCCCAGTTCTCCCAGTACAGGTGTGACCATCCGAGCACGACCATGCCTCTCCCCATACCAGTACGGATGTCCCAGTCCCACCCAGTACCAGTACAACCCTGCCAGTACTAGTGTGGGTCTCCCAGTTTTCCCAGTACAGGTATGTGCCCACCCCCCCCACTGGTTTGGGTCCCCCAGTACCGGTTGGACATTCCAGTCCTGGCCTTGTCCCTGTTCCTCCCAGTTCCAGTTTCCCCCCTCACCCCATCCCAGTCCTGTCCCCATTCCTCCCAGTCCCATCCCAGTTTCCTCCTCATCCCATCCCAGTGCTGTCCCAGTTTTCCCCTCATCCCATCCCAGTCCCATCCCAGTTTCTCCCCCCACAGTGTCCCAGTTGCCATCCCAGTTCCTTCCAGCTCCCCCCAGCTCCATCCAGCCCCATCCCAGTTTCCATTCCAGTTCCCCCAGCCCCATCCCGGTTCCCCCAGCCCCATCCCAGTTTCCCCCCAGCCCCATCCCAATCCCCCTCCCCCTCCATACTGGGCCATACTGGTTTTCCCTGGGTCCTTCACCCCTTTTAATGCCTCGGTGGGGGGGTGTGTGGGGGGGTATTGCTGCTAATTACCCCCTGGAGGAGGGGGGGGGCCGGATTTGGGAGGGCAGCACCTGCCCTGTTCACTCTGGGCCCTACTGATGGCTCAGAAATGGCTCCCCCCAGGCACTGGGGGGGGGGTGGGTGCTTGTTACGTTCACTCTGAACCCTACTGATGGTCAACAGCGACCATAGCTCCCTAGAGTGGGTTTGGGGGGTGGTTTTTTGAAGGGGGGGGGTGTGTGGTATGCGTGTGTGTGTGTCCCCACAAACCCCCCCACCCCCAGTTTTTCCCCACAGGTGGCGGCAGCAGCGCAGGATGCCCGGGGCCGGCCTGGCCGGGCGTTTGGCTCCGCTCTGAGCCCACCATGTCAGGTCAGCCCGGCCATGCCCCCTTCGCCAGCCTCCAGCCCATGGCCGAGCCCCCCCAGGTACCCCCAAAACGGGACAGGATGGGGGGGCACGGGCACCCCTGGGACCCCTGGAATGGGGATGGGGGGGGCACTAGGACCTCTTGGACTCCCGGGGGGGGGGACGGGACATGGACACCCCTGGGACCCCTGAAATGGGGTTGGGGGGGGGCACTAGGACCCCTCGGTTTCCCTGTGGGGGGGCACGTGGACACCCCTGGGACCCCTGAGATGGGGACGGGGGGCACTAGGGCCCCTCGGACTCACTGGGTGGGGGGGCACATGGACACACCTGGGACCCCTGGAATGGGGATGGGGGAGGCACTAGGACCCCTTGGACTCCCTGGGAGGGGACATGAGGAACCCCTGAAGTGTGTGTGTATGTGTGGGGGGGCAATGGGACAGCCCCCCCCCCCCAATAACTGTGACCCCACCCCCCCAGATCCTGCCAGAGCTGAGCCTGCTGCCGCGGCGCCTGCCCCCCCAATTTCGGGACGCGGGGAGCGCCCCCCTCCGCAAACTCTCCGTCGATCTCATCAAAACCTACAAACACATCAATGAGGTGGGGGGGGGGGCGAGGCATGGGAACCCCTACAGGCCCCCCCCCCTCCCTCCATGTCAGCCCCCCCCAATCCCTCCCCAAGTCCCTCTCAACTGCCCCCCCCAATTCCTTCCCTTCCCCCTTAACCCCTCCACCCCAAACCCCATTAATGACCCCCCAAATCCCACGTCCCCCCTCCAGCATCTTAACCCCCCTCACACCTCTTCAATCCCAGAAACCCCCCCAAATCCCCTTTTAACCCTTCAAACCCCCCCAACCCCCCCCAAATCCCCTTTTAACCCTTCAAACCCCCCCCACGCCCCAAATCCCCTTTTAAGCCTTCAAACCCCCCAGCCCCCCCCAAATCCCCTTTTAAACCCTCAACCCACCCCCAAAACTCCCCCAAATCCCCTTTTAATCCCCCAAACCCCCCCAAATCCCCTTTTTACCCCCCAAATCCCCTTTTAACCCCCCAAAATCCCCCCAAATCTCCTTTTAACTCTTTAAACCCCCCCAAACCCCTTTTAAACTACCAACCCCCCCCCAAATCCCCTTTTAACCCCCCCAACCCCCCCCCAAATCCCCTTTTAACCCCCCCAACCCCCTCCAAATCCCCTTTTAACCCCTCAAACCCCCTAAAATCCCCCCCAAATCCCCTTTTAACCCCTCAAACCCCCTGAAACCCCCCAAATCCCCTTTTAACCCCTCAAAACCCCTCCAAATCCCCTTTTAACCCCCCAACCCCCTCCAAATCCCCTTTTAACCCTTCAAACCCCCCAAATCCGCTTTTAACCCCACAACCTCCCCCCAAATCCTCTTTTAACCCCTCCAACCCCACCCCAAATCCCCTTTTAACCCCTCAACCCCCCCTGCCCGAAATCCCCTTTTAACCCTTCCAACCCCCTCCAAACCCCTCTTTAATCTTCCCCCCCCTCCTCCCCAAATTTCCGTGCCTCCCCCCCGCCCCCCAGGTGTACTACGCCAAGAAGAAGCGGCGGGCTCAGCAGGGCCCCCCCGACGCCGCCGGCACCAAGAAGGAGCGGCGCCTCTGCAACGAGGGCTACGACGACGACAACCACGACTACATCGTCCGCAGCGGCGAGCGCTGGCTCGACCGCTACGAGATCGACTCCCTCATCGGCAAAGGCTCCTTCGGACAGGTCGGGGGGGGGTCCCGGGGGGGGCTGGGACACACACACACACACACGCCCCCCCCCCCAAATTCAACCCGCTGCACCCCAAATCTCTTGGTTCCTTCCCGCTTCAGCCCTGGGGGTCCCAACGTGGAGCCCTGGGGTCTCTCAGAGCATTTTGGGGGGGCCCCTGATAGTTCTGGGGGGCCCCTGAGAGTCTTGGGGTCCCCAAATTCTCCCAGGGGGGTCCTCACTGCGCCCCAAATCTTTGTTTCCTTACAGGTTCAGCCCTGGGGATCCCCACATCAGCCCTGGGGTCTCTCAGAGCATTTTTGGGGTTTCTGTAACAATTATGGGGGGGCTCTGACGGTCTTGGGGTCCCCCCAGGTCACCTCAAGGTCCCCAAATTCTCCCAGGGGGGTCCCCGCTGCGCCCCAAATCTTTGTTTCCTTACAGGTTCAGCCCTGGGGTCCCCACATCATCCCTGGGGTCTCTCAGAGCATTTTGGGGGGGGGGCTGTGATAGTTCTGGGGGGCCCCTGAGGGTCTTCGGGTCCCCAAATTCTCCCAGGGGGGTCCTCACTGCGCCCCAAGTCTTTGTTTCCTTACAGGTTCAGACCTGGGGGTCCCCACATCAGCCCTGGGGTCTCTCAGAGCATTTTTGGGGTTTCCCTAACAATTTTGGGGGCCCCTGAGAGTCTTGGGGTCCCCCAGGTCACCTCAGGGTCCCCAAATTCTCCCAGGGGGTTCCCCGCTGTGCCCCAAGTCTCCGTTTCCTTACAAGTTCATCCCTGGGGTCCCCAAAGCATCCCTGGGGTCTCTCAGAGCATTTTGGGGGGGGGCCCTGATAGTTCTGGGGTGCCTCTGAAGCTCTTGGTGTCCCCAGATTCTCCCGGGGGGGTCCCCACTGCGCCCCAAATCTCTCTTTCCTTACAGGTTCAGCCCTGAAGTCTCTCAGAGCAGCCCCGGGGTCCCCAAAGCATCCCTGGGGTCTCTCGGGGCATTTTTGGGGTTCCCCTGACAGTTCTGGGAGGCCCCCAACAGTTTTGGGGTCCCCCAGGTCACCTCAGGGGTCCCCAAACTGTCACCAGCATATTCCCCCTCCACCCCCAGTCCCCCAACTCCCTCCAATGCCCACAACTTTCAGGGTCCCCAACAACTTTTGGGGTCCCCCCCCCCGATTTTTGGCGCCCCCTCTCACTTTTGGGGTCCCCCCGGGGTCCCCCCAAATCCCTCCCCAGTCACCTCAGGGGTCCCCACCCCCTCCCCAGGACATCCCCCATCTCCTTCCAATTCCCCCCCATCCACTCTCAGGGGGTGTCCCCTGACATTTTGCAGGGTCCTCCCCATTTTTAGGGTCCCCCCCAGACTTTCAGGGCCCCCCTCAACTTTTGGGGTCCCCCCAAATCCCTCCCCAATCACCTCAGGGGTCCCCACCCCCTCCCCAGGACATCCCCCATCTCCCTCCACTTCCCCCCTCTCCATTCTCGGGCCGCATCCCCCCACATTTCACAGGGTCCCCTCCACCTTTTATGCTCCCCCCTCAATTTTCGGGGGGTCCCCCCTCACTTTTGGGGTTCCCCCCCTCCCAGGTGGTGAAGGCTTACGACCACCAGGCCCAGGAGTGGGTGGCTATCAAGATCATCAAGAACAAAAAAGCGTTTCTGAACCAGGCGCAGATCGAGCTGCGGCTGCTCCAGCTGATGAACCAGCACCACACTGAGATGAAGTATTACATCGGTCAGTGGGGGGGGGGGGGCACTTGGGGGGCTGGCCCCACAGTGGGGGGGGGGGGGGGGGGACGGGACAGGGAGAAGGGCGGGTTTTGCTGCGGGGGAGGGATTTGGTGGGTAGATTGTGCTTCTAAGGAGGGGGGAGGGCAGATCTGAGCATGGGGTGGGATTTGGGGGGGGGGGGAAGTTGTGGGGCAGATGCTGTTGGGGGGGGCAGTTGGGGGGTAGATTTTGCTGGGGGGGGTAGTTGTGTGAGGGGTTGTGGGGCTGATCCTGCTGGGGGGGGGCAGTTATGGGGTAGATCTTGCTAAGTGGGGGGCACTTGTGGGGCACGGAAATTCCAGGTGTCAGTGTGGGGCTGGGATTTGAAGGCGGTTGTGGTGTAGATCCTGCTGGTGGGGGGAAGTTATGGGTTAGATCTTGCTGGGGGGGCAGTTGTGGGGCTGATCCTGCTGGGGGGGGCAGTTATGGGGCAGAGACATTCCAGATGTCATTGTGGGGCTGGCATTTGGGGGCTGTTGTGGGGCAGATATTGCTTGGGGGGGGGAGTAGTTGTGGGGCACTTATGGGGCAGTCGTGGGGCTGATCCTGCTGGGGGGGGGGCAGTTATGGGGCAGGGAGATTCCAGATGTCAGTGTGGGGCAGGGATTCGGGGGTGCTTATGGTGCAGATCCTGCTGGGGGGGCACTTACGGGGCAGTTATGGGGTAGATCTTGCTGGGGGGGGGGCACGTATGGGGCAGGGAGATTCCAAATCTTGGTGTGGGGCTGGGATTTGGGGGCGGTTGTGGGGCAGATCCTGCTGGGGGGGGGGGGGGGCACTTATGGGGCAGGGAGATTCCAAATCTTAGTGTGGAGCTGGGATTTAGGGGCGGTTGTGGGGCAGATCTTGCTCGAGGGGGGAAGATCCTTCAAGGTGGCGGGCAGTTATGGGGCAGGGACACTCCAAATCTCCCCACGGGGCCAGGATTTGGGGCCAATCCCACTGGGGGGGGGGGAGGGGGGTTGTCTCCCTAAACCCCGCCCCCCCAAAACAAACAAACAAACAACCCCCCAGTGCACCTCAAGCGCCATTTCATGTTCCGCAACCACCTCTGCTTGGCCTTCGAGCTCCTCTCCTACAACCTCTACGACCTCCTCCGCAACACCAACTTCCGTGGCGTCTCCCTCAACCTCACCCGCAAGTTCGCCCAGCAGCTCTGCGCCGCCCTCCTCTTCCTCGCCACCCCAGAGCTCCGCATCATCCACTGTGACCTCAAGCCCGAGAACATCCTCCTCTGCAACCCCAAGCGCTCCGCCGTCAAGATCGTCGACTTCGGCAGCTCCTGCCAGCTGGGCCAGAGGGTGAGGAAGGAGGGAGGGGACACGCCAGGGCCGCCCGCCCCCTCTGGCTCCGCCCACCGGGCCAGGAGGACCCACCCCTGGGAGGTGGAGACATTGCCAAAGGGGATTTAGGGCTGTAAAACCACAAAGCCCCGCCCCCTCGTGAGTTAAGCCCCGCCCACACTTCAGAAAGACACACCCCTTGTCTCTAGCTCCACCCACCGGGTTAAGAAGTCCTGCCCCCAGGAGGTGGAGTCAATGCAAAAGGAGATTTTAGGGCTTTAAAACCACTAAGCCCCACCCGCGCGTGGGTTAAGCCCCACCCACACATGCTAAGGACACACCCCTTGTAGCTCCACCCACTAGGTTAGGAAGTCCTGCCCCCAGGAGGTGGAGTCATTGCAGAAGCAGGTTTAGGGGTATAAAACCACTAACCCCGCCCCCTCGAGGGATAAGCCCCACCCACACTTCAGAAAGACACACCCCTTGTCTCTAGCTCCACCCACCGGGTTAAGAAGGCCCGCCCCCGGGAGGTGGAGTCATTGAGGAAGCGGCTTCAGGGGTATAAAACCACTAAGCCCCGCCTCCTTGAATGATAAGCCCTGCCCACACACCCTAAGGACACACCCCTTGTCTGTAGCTCCACCCACTAGGTTAGGAAGTCCCGCCCCCAGGAGGTGGAGTCATTGCGGAAGCAGGTTTAGGGGTATAAAACCACTAAGCCACGCCCCCTCAAGGGATAAGCCCTGCCCACACACTCTAAGGACACACCCCCTGCCTGGGCTCTGCCTATCAAGGTGAGAAGTCCCGCCCCCAGGAGGTGGAGGCATTGCAAATGGGATTTAGGGCTCTAAAATCACTAAGCCCCGCCCCCTTGAGGGACCAGCTCCACCCACACACCATAAGGACACACCCCTGTCTCTAGCTCCACCCACTGGGTTAGTAAGTCCCGCCCTCAGGAGGTGGAGTCATTGCTGAAGTGGGTTTAGGGATATAAAACCACTAAGCCCCGCCCCCTTGAGGGATAAGCCCCGCCCAGACCTCATAGGGACACACCCCCCTGGCTTGTCTCCACCTACAAGGGTGGGAAGTCCCGCCCCCAGGAGGTGGAGTCATTGCTCAAGGTGGTTATAGGGCTATAAACCCACTAAGCTCCGCCCACTTTAGGTATAAGCCCCGCCCACACACTTCCATCACACAGCCCCTTCCTTGGCTCCACCCACCGGGATGGGAAGTCCCACCCCCAGGAGGCTGAGCCCCGCCCCATGTCCATTTGGGGGGGGGAGTGGGGTGTGCTAAGCCCCGCCCACCTGGAGGGCTAAGCTCCAGCCCCTGAATCTCTAAGCCCCGCCCCAACACTGTGAAGACATTCCCCCTGCTGTGGCCCCGCCCCCTCCTCTCCCAGCTCCTCTGGGTGGGTGGGTGAGCCCCGCCCACTTCACACCAAGCCCCGCCCTCTTTGGAGTAGCCACGCCCTCTGAGGCACTCACCCCTCACCTGTTTAAAGAGACAGACCCCCCTTTTCCTCCCGAAGGGGCTCTTTTATCGCTAAGCCCCGCCTCTGGGTGGCTTGGCCCCGCCCTCCCGGCACGGCCCCGCCCCCCATCATGACCCCGCCCCCTCCCCAGATCTACCAGTACATCCAGAGCCGCTTTTACCGGTCCCCGGAGGTGCTGCTGGGGCTGCCCTACGACCTGGCCATCGACATGTGGTCCCTGGGCTGCATCCTGGTGGAGATGCACACGGGCGAGCCGCTCTTCAGCGGCGCCAACGAGGTGGGCGGGGCTTGCGGGCGAGGGGGCGGGGCCTCCTGGGGGCGAAGGGGCGGGGCATGGGGAGAGGGTGGGGCTTGGAGTGAGGGTGGGGCTGGGAGCGGGGTCAGAGCTTGGGGGGATGCACACGGGCGAGCTGCTCGCCTGCAGTGTTAATGAGGTGGGCGGGGCTTGGGGGATAAGGGGCGTGGTCTCAGAGAGGGGGCAGGGCTTTGAGGGGAAGGCGGGGCTTGGGGCGGGGTCAGAATTTGGGGGGGTACACAACGGTGAGCTGCTCTGCAGCAGCGCTAATGAGGTGGGTGGGGCTTGGGATTGAAGGGGCGTGGCCTCCTGGGTGAGGTGGTGGGCCCTTGGGTGTGGGTGGGGCTTGTGGGGTGGGCGGGGCTTGGGGCAATGGGAGGTGGGGTCTGACCTTATTACTGGGGAGCTGGTCTTCATTAGTGCCCAGGGGGTGGGCGGAGTTTGGGGTGAGGGGGCGTGGCCATGCCCTGTGGAGATGCAGGTTGTGGCGGCTCTTTCACTTCTCCGTGGAGGTGGGCGGGGCCTCACTGGAAAGGGGCGGAGCTATGAGTGCAGGGGGTGTGGTCTCACTGCTTGAGGGGTGGGGCTAAGAGTGGGCGGGGCTTTGCCTGGATTGGCAGGACCAGCCCCCGGGTGGCCTTGTGGACCCAGGGGACACCCCAAGGGGGTTGCGGTGGCCTTGGGGACACCCCCGAGAGGGACGGGGTGGCCTTGGGGACCCTGGGGATGTCCCTGGTAGGGCTGAGGTGGCCTTGGGGACATCAAGGAATGTCCTGAGGGAGGCAGAGGTGGCCTTGGGGACCCCAGAGACCTCTCTGAGAAGGTCGGGGTGGCCTTTAGTGACAGACTTGTCAGCGCTGAGGTGGCTTTGGGGACATCAGCGATGTCCTGAGCAGCACCGAGGTGGCCTTGGGGATCTTAAAAATGTCCTGGACGGGACCAAGGTGGCCTTGGGGACCTCAGAGATATCCTGGACAGGGCCGAGGTAGCCTTGGGGACATCAGGGATGTCCTCACAAGGCCAAGGTGGCCTTGGGGACATCAGGGGTGTCTTTGGAAGGGTTGAGGTGGCCTTGGGGACCTCAGAAATGTCCTGGGAAGGGCCGAGGTGGCCTTGGGGACATCAAGGATGTGTTTGGAAGAGTTGAGGTGGCTTTGGGGACCTCAAAAATGTCCTGGATAGGAACAAGGTGGCCTTGGGGACCTCAAAAATGTTCTGGACAGGACCAAGGTGGCCTTGGGGACATCAAAGATGTGTTTGGAAGAGTTGAGGTGGCCTTGGGGACCTCAAAAATGTCTTGGACAGGGCTGAGGTGGCCTTGCGGACATCAAGGATGTCTTTGGAAGGGTTGAGGTGGCTTTGGGGACCTCTGGGATGTCCTGGGCAGTGTTGAGGTGGCCTTGGAGACTTCAGGGACATCCCAGGTGGCCTTGGGGACATCGTTGTCCTCGAGCCACCTTGGAGAACCACCACAGTGCCACCAAGGCTGCCACATCCCCCCTTTTCCTCTCCCCCACTTCTCTTGGGTGACCTTGGGGGACACCACGGGCGTCATCACCGGTGGGGTGGGCAGGGCCACGGGGACAGCAGTGACGTGTGTGTGTGTCCCCTCCCCCCTGCCCCCGTGTCCCCAGGCCGACCAGATGAACCGGATCGTGGAGGTGCTGGGGCTTCCCCCCCCCCACATGCTGGAACAGGCCCCCAAAGCCCGCAAGTACTTCGAGAAGCTGCCAGAGGGGGGGTGGGCCCTCAAGAGGAACAAGGAGAGCAAGAAGGTGAGCAGGAACCTCCCAGTATGGACCAGTAGGCCCTTCAGAACCTCCCAGTGTGGCCCAGGAGATCTTCAGAACCTCCCAGGTTCCACCTAGTTGCTCCCTGGTGCTTCCCAAGATGTCTTAGTGGCTCTGGACTGTATCCCAGTATGGCCCAGTGGCCCTTTAGGGACTCTCAGTATGGCCCAGTAGCCCTTTAGCAACTCCCAGGGGCCCCCCAAACCCCTCTGATCACCTCCCAAAGACCCCCAAACCCATCAGATCCCCCCAAGGACCCCAAAACCCCTCAGATCTCCTCCCAAGGACCCCAAAACTTCATCAGATGTTCCCCAAAACGCATCAGATGCCCCCAAAGACCCCGAAACTCCTCAGATCTCCACCCAGGGACCCCAGAACTTCATCACATGTCCCCCCCAAACCCATCAGATGACCCCAAAACTCCTCAGATCTCTACCCAAGGACCCCAGAACTTCATCAGATGTTCCCCAAAACCCATCAGATGCCCCGAAGGACCCCAAAACTCCTCAGATCTCCTCCCAAGGACCCAAGAACTTCATCAGATGTTCCCCAAAACCCATCAGATGCCCCCAAAGACCCCAAAACTCCTCAGATCTCAACCCCAGGACCCCAAAACTCGATCAGATGTTCCCCAAAACCCATCAGATGCCCTCAAGGACCCTGAAATTCCTCAGATCTCCAACCAAGGACCCCAAAACTCGATCAGATGTCCCCCCCCCAAACCCGTCAGATGCCCCCCAAAGGAGACCCCAAACCCCTGCAAATCTCCCCCCTCCCCGCCCCACCTCCTGTCCCCTCCCCAGGAGTACAAGGTGCCGGGGACGCGACGTCTCCACGAGGTGCTGGGGGTGGAGAGCGGTGGCCCGGGCGGGCGCCGGGCGGGGGAGCAAGGCCACGCCCCCTCGGACTACCTGAAATTCAAGGACTTGGTCTTACGGATGTTGGACTACGAACCCCGGAGTCGCATCACCCCCTTTTACGCTCTCCAACACAACTTCTTCAAGAAGACCAACGATGAAGGTACCAACACCAGCAACAGCACCTCCACCAGCCCGGCCATGGAGCACAGCCACAGCACCAGTACGACCAGTTCCATCTCCAGTTCGGGTAGGGAACCCGACCCCCACCCCTCCTGCACTTTCGGGGTGGTGGGATTTGAGGGCTTTGGGCTTGTGGGGCGGCGCGGTGGGCTAGTGACGTGCTCAGGTGGGGTTGGTGATGGTCTAGAGCCAGCGTTGGGCCTCCTGGTTCCATGTTCTGGGTGATGGCTCCTTGGGCCACCACCAGATGACCACCAGGGTCATCTGTCCCCTCCCTGTCCCACCAGGCTCCAGATGGTGGCTCTCCAGGCTACCATGAGCTTCTGGTCATCTCCTGTCTCCATCCCTGTCCCACCAGGCTCCATGTCCTGCTGGATGGTGGCTCCCAAGACCACCACAAATTCCTCATCCTCTTCCATCCCCATCCTTGTCCCACCAGGCTCCATGTCCTGCTGGATGGTGGCTCTCCAGGCCACCATGAGCTCCTGGTCATCTCCTGTCCCCATCCCTGTTCCACCAGGCTCCATGTCCTTCTGGATGGTGGCTTCCAAGGCCACCATGAGCTTGTCATCCTTTCCCATCTCCATCCCTGTTCCACCAGGTCCCATGTCCTGCTGGATGGTGGCTCTTCAGGCCACCACAAGTTCCTCATCCTCTTCCATCCCTGTCCCTGTCCCACCAGGCTCCATGTCCTGCTGAATAGTGGCTTCCAAGGCCACCATGAGCTTGTCATCCTTTCCCATCTCCATCCCTGTCCCACCAGGCTCCATGTCCTGCTGGACGGTGGCTCTCCAGGCCACCACAACCTCCTGATCATCTCCCATCTCCATCCCCGTCCCACCACCCTCCGTGTCCGGCTGGATGGTGACATCTCCCCAGGCCACCCCATCCCCTCGGGGACCTCCCTGTCCCGTGCCACCGCTGCTGATGTCCCCCCGTTGTGTGTCCCCCCCCCGTCCCCCCCGCAGGTGGCTCCAGCGGCTCCTCCAACGACAACCGGAGCTACCGCTACAGCAGCCGCTACTACGGGAGCGCGGCCGCCCCGCACGGCGACTGCGAGATGCAGAGCCCCCAGGTACCGCCGGGGACACCCGGGGGTGGCCCCACCCCACCCCGGGGACACCCCGCTGCCGGGCGGGTGGGTGATGGGGACCTTGGGGACAGCCTGGTCACGGTGGGTGGGAGACATTGGACCTTGGGGACCTTAGGAACCCCTCTGGTGACACCTGGGAGGGTGACATGGACCTTGGGGACATCCTGGTCACGGTGGGTGGGAGGACATGGACCTTGAGGACCCTTGGGATCCCTCTGGTGACACCAGGAGGGTGACATGGACCTTGGGGACATCCTGGTGACACCAGGAGGGTGACATGGACCTTGGGGACCCTTGGGACCCTTCTAGTGACACCAGGAGGGTGACATGGACCTTGGTGATGGCCTGGTCACAGTGGGTGGGTGACGTGGACTTTGGGGACCCGTGGGATCCCTCTGGTGACACTAGGAGGGTGACATGGACCTTGGGGACCTTAGGAACCCCTCTGGTGACACCGGGAGGGTGACATGGACCTTGGGGACCTCCTGGTGACACCAGGAGGGTGACATGGACCTTGGGGACCTTAGGAACCCCTCTGGTGACACTGGGAGGGTGACACGGACCTTGAGGACCCTTGTGACCCTTCTAGTGACACCAGAAGGGTGACATGGAACTTGGGAAAAGTTGTGGTGACACCAGGAGGGTGACATGGGCCATGGGGACATCCTGGTCACAGTGGGTGGGTGACATGGAGCTTGGGGAGAGCTTGGTCACCAGTGGGGGGGTGACATGGACCTTGGGGACCTTTGGGCTCCCTCTGGTGACACCAGGAGGGTGACGGGGACCTTGGGGACCTCATGGCATTAAGGTGGGGACCCTGGAGACCCCATAGCCACATGTCACCTACCCAGGCCACCCTGGGGACCGTGTGGCCACAAGGTGGTGACCTTGGGGACACCATGGCCTCAAGGTGGGGACATTGAGGACCTCATGACCTCGAGGTGGGCACCTTGGGGACCCCGTGGCCATCACGTGGGGGTCTTGGGGACCCCATAACCACGTGCCACCCACCCCAAAATATTTTGGGGACCCCTTGACCATGACTTTGGCATCTTGGGGACCCCGTGGCCATGACGTGGGGACCTTGGGGACCCCATAACCACGTGCCACCCCCCCAAAATATTTTGGGGACCCCTTAACCATGAGTTTGGCATCTTGGGGACACTGTGGCTTTGACTTGGGGACCTTGGGGACCCCATAACCACATGCCACCCTTCCTCAAAATATTTTGGGGACCCCTTGACCATGACTTTGGCATCTTGGGGACCCCGTGGCCATGACGTGGGGACCTTGGGGACCCCATAACCACGTGCCACCCCCCCAAAATATTTTGGGGACCCCTTAACCATGAGTTTGGCATCTTGGGGACACTGTGGCTTTGACTTGTGGACCCTGGGGACCCCATAACCACATGCCACCCTCCCCCAAAATATTTTGGGGACCCGTTGACCATGACTTTGGCATCTTGGCGACCCCATGACCACGAGGTGGGCACCTTGGGGACCCCTTGACCATGACTTGGGGGCCTTGGGGACCCCGTGGCCATGACATGGGGAATTTGGGGCCCCTTAACCACGTGCCACCCCCCCCGAAATATTTTGGGGACCCCTTGACCATGACTTTGGGATCTTGGCGACCCCGTGGCCATGACGTGGGGAATTTGTGGACCCCATAACCATGTGCCATCCCCCCAAAATATTTTGGGGACCCCTTAACCATGACTTGGGGACTTTGGGGACCCCGTGGCCATGACGTGGGGACTTTGAGGACCCCATAACCACCTGCCACCCCCCTCAAAATATTTTGGGGACCCCTTGACCATGACTTTGTCATCTTGGGGACCCCATGACCACGAGGTGGGCACCTTGGGGACCCCGTATCCATGACTTTGGGATCTTGGGGACACTGTATCCATGACGTGGGGACCTCGGGGACCCCATAACCACGTACCACCCCCCCGAAATATTTTTGGGGACCCCTCAGCACCTTGGGGGACCCCATGACCACGAGGTGGGCACCTTGGGGACACCCTTGACCATGACTTTGGGATCTTGGGGACCCCGTGGCCATGACGTGGGGACCTTGGGGCCCCCATAACCACATACCACCCCCCCCGAAATATTTTGGGGACCCCATGAGAAGTTGGGGGGACCACCCCTTTGCTCTAACCCCCCCCTCTCTCTCTCTCTCTCTCTCTCTCTCTCCCCCCAGGCCCCCCCAGCGCAACCGCCCCGACCTTGGCCCGGGGGGGACCCGGCCGCACCCCCCGCCTGCACCGACGCCTTCACCCCTTTGGGACCCCCCAAGCCCCCCCAGATCTTACCTGGGGGGGGAGGAGGAGGAGGAGGAGCCCCCCCCCCTTTCCCACGCCCCCCCCCGGCCCCCCACCCCTCCCAGCACCACCAGCACCACCAGCAGCACCAGCACCACCCGCCGGGGCCCCCCCTTTCTCTCCCTGGGGGGGGCTCTTTAAGCGAGCGGATGATGGATTTGGGGGGGCCCCCCCCCGCCTCCTCCGCCGCCCCCCCCCCCGCCGCCACCTCCGTTGCCCCCCCCTCCTCCTCCTCCTCCTCCTCCTCCCCCCCCACCCCGCCACCACCCGGACTGTCACCCCTTTGCCCCCACAATTTTCCGGACTCGAGGGGGGGTCACCGGTTTTGGGGGGGGCGGGGGGGGGGGGCGAGACGACGCACGGCACCACCGCGGCGGCGGGGGGGGGGGAGCACACACCCCCACCATCCCCCCCCCCTCCCCACCACCCCCACCGCCGCCACCATGACAACAGGGGGGGCGGGGGGGGGGCAGCACCCCCCTTACGGGGGTCCCCATTTCCGGGGGCGCCCCGAGCACGAGGACTCGGCCATTTTGGGGGGGGGCGTCCCCCAAAGTACGGCCGCCAGCTCTTGACAAACCCCTCCCTCCCCCCCCCCCCCTTTTTTATTTTTTCAACCCCCCCCCAGCGGCGCTTTATTATTATTATTATTATTGTTATTAATTATTATTAATTATTATTAGAGGAGGGGGGGGCGGTAGGAGATGCACAAACTGGCAGCTCGGGGCGGGGGGGGCACCCACTTATTTTGGGGGGCGGGGGGAGGAGCACCCACTCCTTTCCGGGGGGGGTGAGCACCTATTTTGAGGGGGGGGCACCCACTCCTTTTTTGGGGGGGGGGTGGGGGCAACCACCCATTCTGGGGGTGCACCCACTTATTTGGGGGGGGGGGCACCCATAATTTTGGGGGGGGGTGTCACCCACTCCCCTTCCTTATTTTTCTCAGCACCTCCCCCCCCCCCCCAAGCTCTCTGTGGGGGCACCCACGGGGGGGGGGGACACCCACGGCGGGGGGGGGCTGTGCCCCCCCTCCTCCCCGTCTGTTTTTGTCTAATTCATTGTACCAAAGACGGTGCCCCCCCCCCGCCACCCATGGGTGCACCCCCCCCAACCCCCCCCCCATGGGTGCTGCCCCCCCCCCCCGCCCCGTGGGGGCGTGTCCCTGGGTGGGGCCGGTGAATAAACTGGTGACAGCAGCACCCGCGGGTCCCCTCACTGCTCCGGCCATAGGGGGTGGCTATAGGGGCCGGGGGGTGCTATAGGGGCTGGGGGGGGCTCTGTAGGGGGTGTAGGGACTTGGCGGCTCTATAGGGGCTGGGGGGCTATATGGACCAGGGGGCTTTATAGGGTATAGGGGGGCTATAGGGTATAGGGGGGCTATAGGGACTGGGCGGGCTCTATAGGGTATAGGGGGGGCTATAGGGACTGGGGGGGCTCTGTAGGTTATAGGGGGGTATAGGGACCGGGGGGGCTTTATACATTATAGGGGGCTATAGGGACTGGGGGGGCTCTATAGGGTATAGGGGGGCTGCAGGGACTGGGAAGCTTTATACAGTAGAGGAGGGTATAGGGACTTGGGGGGGCTTTAGAGGGTATAGGGGGCTATAGGGACTGGGGGGGCTTTAGAGGGCTATAGAGACTGGAGTCTCTATAGGATATGGAGAGGCTATAGGGATTGGGGGGCACTACAGAGTATGGAGGAGCTATATGGATTCAGGGGCTCTATAGGGTATAGGGACTTGTGGGCTTTATAGGAGCTGGGGGCTATAGGGACCAGGGGGGCTTTATATTGTGTAGGGGGGTATAGGGACTGGGGGGCTATGTAGGGTATAGGGGATATAGGGACCAGGAGGCTTTATATAGTAGAGGGGGCTATAGGGACTCAGGGGCTCTATAGGGACAGGGGAGCTTTATACAGTATAGGAGGCTATAGGGACTAGGGGGGCTCTATAGTGTATAGGGGGATATAGAGACCAGGAGGGCTTTATATAGGAGGATATAGGGACTGAGGGGCTCTATAGGGTCTGGGGAATGCTATAGGGACTGGGGGGCTCTATACAGTATCGAGAGCTATAGGGACTGAGGGGTTTATAGGGTATAGGGGGCTATAGGGGCTGGGGGGGCTCTATAGGTTATAGTGGGCTAAAGGGACCATGGGAGCTTTATACAGTGTAGGAGGCTATAGGTACCAGGGGGGCTCTATAGGGTATAGGGGGGTATAGGGACCATGGGGCTTTATACAGTACAGAGGGGTATAGGGACTGGGGGGCTCTATAGGGTATGGGGGGGCTATAGGGACCACTGGGCTTTATACAGTATAGGAGTCTATAGGTACCAGAGAGGCTTTATAGGGTATAGGGGGCTATAGGGACCGAGAGGCTTTATACAGTATAGGCAGCAGGGGGGCTTTATATCCTATAGGGGACTGTAGGGATTGCGGGGCTCTATAGGGTATAGGGAGGGTATAGGGACCAGGGGGGGATCTATAGGAATGGGCGGTTATAGGTACCGGGGGGGGCTCTATAGGGTAAAGCTGGAATATAGGGATTGAGGGGGGGCTTTATATGGTATAGGTTATAGGGGCTGGGGGGGCTCTATAGGGTACAGGTGGGTATAGGGACCAGGGGGGTCTCGACAGTGTATAGGGGGGTAAGAGGCACGGGTAGTATAGGGACCAAGGGGATCTATAGGGTATAGGGGCTTCAGGGGGGCTCTATATAGAGTATAGGGACTAGGGGGGCACTATAGGGCATGGGGGGGTATATGGACTGGGAGGAACCCTATAGAGTATGGGGGAGCTATAGGGCCGGGGGGGGGGCAGGGTTGCTATAGGTACAGGGCCTGGAGAGGGGTCCCTATAGGGTATATAGGGGAGCTGTGGGGATGGGAGAGGGACCCTGTAGGATATAGGGAGCTATAGGGTTGGAGGGGTCCCTGTAGGGTCAGGGGGACCTGTAGGGGTTGGGGGGGGACACACCCTATAGGGAATAGGGGAGCTATAGGAACTGGGGTAGCTGGGAGAGCTATAGGGACCATGTAGGGTCAGGTGGGGCTATAGGGGGGCTGGGAGGGACTCGACAGGGTATAGGGGAGCTATAGGGACTGGGCGGGGAGGGGGGAAAACACTCTAGTGTATGGGAAAACTATAGGGGCCAGGGAGGGGGCACATCCTATAGCATATGTGGGCCCTATAGGACCTTTAATAGCTTCAGAGGGAGCTGTAGGGACTAACGGGGGGACCCTATAGGATTGAGGGGAGCTATAGGGACCAGATAGGCCTTTTATAGGGGTGGGGGGAGCTGTAGGGACTAGAGGGGGATCCTATAGGAGACCTATAGGGCCTGGGGGGATGACACGCTCACAGTTCTGTAGGGGCCGGGGGAACCCCATAGTGTATAGGGGACCTATAGGGTTGGGGGGGACCGTCTGTAGGGCCGGGGGGAGCTACATATGGGCTGGGGCAGACTACAGGGTGTAGTGAGTCCATAGGGAGCCCAATCTATAGGGACCCTGGGGGAGCTGTGGGGACTAGATGGGAGGGAAAGACACTATAGTGTATGGGGAAGCTATAGGAACAGGACCTTTCACAGGGTTGTGGGAGCTATAGGGACTAGGGAGGACCCTATAGGTTATAGGGGAGCTATAGGGTTGGAGGGAGCATGTATAGAATGGAGGAGAGGTACAGGGAGCAGGGGCACCCTATAGAATATAGGGGAGCTATAGGGACTGGGGTGACCATGTAGGGCCTGGGGGAGCTGTAGGGACTGGGGAGCTCTCTATAGGGTCAGGGGGAGCTATAGGGATGTCCCTATAGGGTGTAGAGGAGCTGTAGGGATGGGGGAGAGACCCTATAGGGGAGCTATAGGGACAGGGTTGTTGGGGGAGGGGTTGGTGGGGTACCCTATAGGGTATGGGGATACTATAGGGGTTTAGGGAGACCCTATAGGGTATAAGGGAGCTATAGGGAGCAGGGGGATCCTATAGGGTCAGGGAGAGTTATAGGGGCTGGGGGGACCATATGGGCTTGGGGGGTGCTATAGGAGCTTGGGTGGAGGGGTCTGTATAGGGTATCTATAGGGACTGCTGGGACCCTATAGGGTCAGGGGGAGCCATAGGGACTGGTGGGACTATAGGGTCAGGGAGAGTGATAGGGGCTGGGGGACCATATAGAGAATGGGGGTACCCTATAAGGTGGGGGAGAGGTATAGGGGCTGAGGGGGACAATATAGGGTCAAGGGGACCTATAGGGCCTGGGGGAGTATAGGGGATGGAGGGGACCCTAGAAGTTATGAGGGAGGACCCTATAGAATAAGGGGGATCCATAGGGTCTGGGGGACCCTGTAATAGGGTCAAGGAAGCTGTAGGGACTATATGGATCATATAGAGCCTGGGGCTGCCATAGGGACTATGCTGACCATATAGGGACTAGGGGGGAGACCCTTTAGAGTTAGGGGGAGCTATAGGGGTTGTAGACACTCTATAGGGTCAGGGGGAGCTATAGGGGCTGGGGGGAGGACATGGACCCTATAGGGTGAGGAGGAGCCGAGGGAGTGGTGTGACCTGGGGGGTGCTATAGGTGCCGGGGAGCCGTAGAGGGGCTGTGTCACACAGTGGCTCTGGGAGGGGGTGGTATATACCACTCTATAGGGGCCATATAGGGGCAGGGGGGCCCCTATTGAGGCTGGTTTCCCATCCCCCATAGTGAGGGACTTATGGCTCCTGGGGGGGATGTATAGGACCCTGGAGCAGCTATAGGTGTGGGGGAGGGTCCTATAGGGGGTGGGTCCCCCCCTGCCACATGCCTGCTGGACCATATAGGGCCTGGGGGGGGCTCTGTAGGGCCTGGTACCCGCCTTGGTGGGGTCTATAGAATGTCCAGGGGTGGGTATAGAAGCCACTATAGTGCCTGGGAGTCCCTATAGCTCCAGGAGGTCCCTAGGGCACCTGGGGGTCCCTATAGGGCCTGGGAGGAGCCCCTATAACATCTGGGGGTGTCTATACAGTCCTGGGGGCTCTCTATAGATCCCAGGAGCCCCTATAGCCCCTATAGAGTCCAGTGTTATCTCTAAATACTTACGGGGACCCCCCCTATAGCCTCCCCAGGGCCCCTAAATATGCCCTGGAAGCCCCTATAGAACCTCAGGTACCACCTATAGACCAAGCAGGGCCCCTAAATACCCTCGGGGGATCCCCTATAGCCCCAGCAGGACCCCTAAATAACCCCTGGCACCTCCTATAGCTCCCACAGGGCCCCTAAAGAACCTTCAGGGACCCCCAAAGAACCTTCAGGGACCCCCCTATAGACCCCCAGAGCTCCTAAATACTCATTGAGAACCCCTATAGACACCTCAGGCCTCCTAAATACCCTCCAGAATCCCCTATAGATCCCCCAGAGCCCCTAAATACCCCCCTGTGCCCCCTATAGCCCCACCCACCCAAGCCCCTAAATAGCCCCTGGGACTCCCTGGAGACCCTAAAAAACCTCAGAGACCCCCTACGGCCCCTAAATACCCCCTATAGCCCCATATAGCCCCCCAGGGCCCCTAAATGCCCCCCTTGGACCCCTATAGAATTTCAGAGCCCCTAAATACCCCCTGTAATCCCCTATAGCACCCCAGGGTCCCTAAAAACCCCCCTTGGACCCCTATAGACTCTACATACCCCTTATAGCCCCCCATGGCCCCTAAATACACCCCTTGGACCCCTATAGACTCTCAGAGCCCCTAAATGCCCCCTATAGCCCCCCAGGGTCCCTAAATGCCCCCCTTGGTCCCCTATAGAATTTCAGAGCCCCTAAATACTCCCTACAATCCCCTATAGCCCCCCAGGGTCCTTAAATACCCCCCTTGGACCCCTATAGACTCTCAGAGCTCCTAAATACCCCCTATAGCCCCCTATAGCCCCCCAGGGTCCTTAAATGCCCCCCTTGGATCCCTATAGACTCTCAGAGCCCCTAAATACTCCCTACACACCCCTATAGTGCCCCAGGGTACTTAAATACCCCCCTTGGACCCCTATAGACTCTCAGAACCCCTAAATACCCCCTACGACCCCCTATAGCCCACCAGGGTCCTTAAATACACATCTTGGGCCCCTATAGAATCTCAGAGCCTCTACATACCCCCTATAGCCCCCTATAGCCTGCCTATAGCCCCCCAGGGTCCCTAAATGCCCCCCTTAGACCCCTATAGACTCTCAGAGCCTCTACAAACCCCCTATAGCCCCCTATAGCCCCCCAGGGTCCCTAAATGCCCCCCTTGGACCCCTATAGAATTTCAGAGACCCTAAATACCCCCTACACACCCCTATAGCCCCCCAGGGTCCTTAAATACCCCCCTTGGGCCCCTATAGACTCTCAGAGCCCCTAAATACCTCCTATAGCCCCCTATAGCCCCATATAGCCCCCCCAGGACCCCCTGGGGCAGTTTTGCCCCTTCACTCGGCCCATTTTCCCTGTTTCTGCCCCTTTTCGCCTTAATTCTGCCCCTTTTTACCGTTTCTGCCACTTTTCGCCCCAAATCTCTTTTCACCTTAACTTGGCCCCTTCTCACTGACCCGGCGATTTGAGTGGGTTGGGGCAATTTGGGTATTTTGGGGGGCAATTGAGGGTGTTTGGGGGAAAATTTGGGTATTTTAGGGGCAATTTTGATATTTGGGGTGGGGCTATTTGGGTGAGTTTGGGGCAATTTGGGTGGTTTTAGGGCAATTTGATGTTTCAAGAGGCAATTTGGGAAGTTTGGGGGCAATTCGGTATTTTGAGGGGCAATTGAGGTTGTTTTGGGGAAAAAATGGGTATTTCAGGGGCAATTTCAATGTGGGGGGAGCAATTTGGATGAGTTTGGGGCAATTTGGGTGGTTTGGAGGAAATTTGATATTTTGAGGGGCAATTTGGGTATTTGGGGGGCAATTTGGGTGGGTTTAGGGTAATTTGGGGTTTCGAGGGCTAATATGGGTGATTTAGGGGCAATTTGGGGGGATTTGGGAAATTTAGGTGTATTGAGTGGTAATTCGGATGTTTTGGGGTCAATTTTCATCTTTCAAGGAGAAATTTAGGTGGTTTTTGGGGCGATGTGGTGGTTTGGAGGAAAATTGATATTTTGAGGGTAAGTTTGGGTGGTAGGGCAGTTTGTGGTTTCAAGAGTCAATTTGGGAAGTTTTGGGGCAATTTGGTATTTTGAGAGGCAATTGAGGTGTTTTGGGGAAAAATTGGGTATTTTGAGGGGCAACTTGGATATTTCGATGGGAAATTTGGGTGGGTTTGAGGCAATTTGGCTGGATTGGGAGAAATTTGATATTTTGAGGGGCAATTTGGGTGGGTTTGGGGCAATTTGAGGTTTCAAGGGACAATTTGGGAAGTTTTGGGGCAATTTGGTATTTTGAGGGGCAATTGATGTGTTTGGGGAAAAATTTGGGTATTTTAGGGGCAACTTGGGTATTTTAGGGGCAATTCGGGTGGGTTTGGGGCAGTTTGGGTGGTTTGGAGGAAATTTGATATTTTGAGGGTCAATTTGGGTGGGTTTAGGGCAGTTTGTGTGGTTTTAGGGCAATTTAGGGTTTCAAGGGGCAATTTGGGAAGTTTGGGGCAATTTGGTATTTTTATGGGCAATTGAGGTTGTTTGGGGGGAAAATTGGGTATTTTAGGGGCAATTTGGGTGAGTTTGGGGCAATTTGGGTGGATTGGGAGAAATTTAGTATTTTGAGGGGCAAGTTGGGTGGATTTGGGGTGGATTTGGGGAAATTTGGGTTGTTTTAGGGCAATTTGGCATTTTGAGGGATAATGTGGGTGATTTGGGGGCGATTTGGGTGGATTTGGGGAAATTTGGGTGCACTGAGTGACAATTCGGGTGTTTTGGGGTCAATTTGAATCTTTCAAGGGGCAACTTGGGCAGTTTTGGGGCAAATTGGGTGATTCTGGGGTAATTTAGGTCTTTTGAGGGCCAATTTGGGTGGTTTGGGGGCAATTAGGTATTTTGAGGGGCAATTTGCATGGTTTTTGGGCAATTTGGGCTTTTGGGGGGCAATTTGGGTGTTTTTGAGGGGTAATTTGGGTGGTCTGTGGGAAATTTGCTATTTTGAGGGGCAATTCATGTGTTGGGGGGGGCACTGGGGTATTTTGGGGCAATTCGGGTGGGTTTGGGGCAATTTGGATGTTTTTGAGGGGTAATTTGGGTGGTTTGTGGGACAGGGGAGAAGCTGCAGTGGAGGACTGGGACCAGTTCGGGTCCCTCTGCTATGTGGGACCAGTGCGGTCAGGACGCTGGGACCCCCCTAATTTCCCAGATCCCCCCCCAAATTAATCACACCCACACCCCCCCCCACCTAATCGCAGCGCAGGGTCCCCTCCCCGTCCCCCCACATTCTCCCTGACGCAAAGCATCGTGGGAGCTCCGTGCAGGCCGGGACAGCCCAGGTTAATTAGAGCCGAGTAATTATGACCCGTGAGGACTTGCCTGGAGCTCAATTAACACCTGAGCTCATTAAGAGGCCTCTTAATGAACCCGGAGCTGATTGGGTAACGATGGGCCCAGGGCAAGTCGAGGCGATCCAGGAGGGGCTGAGTCAGCCCAGCCCAGCCCAGTGACAGGGCAGGGTTCAACTGGGATTTCCAGCGAACTGGCAGGACCCGATCCAGTCGGCGCCTCCCTGCCCCCGAGGCTCCTGGGAGGTGCCCCAGGGTCCTCTGGGGTTGGACCGGGAGGAACTGGGAGGCCCCGGGGGGGGGTGGAGGAAGAGGAGGCGATGAGGGAACATCTCTTCTTCTTCTGGAGGGACCAAGAGAAATGGTCTGGTGGCGTGGCGTGGGGTCACCGTGTTTCCCCTCCACCCCCCAACCTTGGGGGGGGGGGCCACGTGAGGGGTTGGGGGTGGCCACGGGGAGCTGGAGGTGGCCACCGGTGAAGATGAGGATGGAGAGAAGGAGAGAGGCTGAAGGAGCCAGAGGGGAAACGCAGGAAAACGGGCGAGAGGAAGGATGAGCCACGTCTTGGTGCTCCTCGGCGGCCCGTGGCCAACCCAACGTTCTGCGTCCAAGGAGGAGCCACGGTTTGAGGTTGGACCTCATCAGAGCCACGTCCCAGCAGCTCTCGGGCAACCCTGGTCCAATGAGGAGCCATGGTTTGGGATCGACCCCTAAAGGAGACAGGTCATGGTGGTCTCTCGACCACCTTCTCCATCCTTAGGTCCTACATCCACCAAGGAGCTATGTTTTGGGGTCCAACCCCCCTTGAAGACGTGTCCTGGTGCCTTCTCAACCATCCCCACGCAACCCAAGGTCCCATGTCCCGCGAGGATCCACGTTTTGGGTTCGATCCCACCAGAGCCGTCTCCTGGTGCCTTCTCATCCAAAACCCCTGCTCATGCGCTGACCAGGGAGCTCCAGTTTGGGACCGAGCACACCACAGATGTGTCCTGATGTCCTCTCGACTGTCCTCATCTACCTGTGGGGTCCCACACCCAACCAAGAGCCACGTTTTGGGGTCCAGCCACAGCCTGGTGCCCTCTTGACCAGCTTTGTCCATCCTCGGTTTCTGCATCCGATGAGGAACCGCGTTTTGGGTTTGATCCCCGCCGAGCGGTGTCCCAGTGTCCTCTCTGCTGTCCTCGTGCAACCCCGGGTCTTGCGCCCAACGAGGAGCCACGTTTTGAGGTTGAGCCCAGTGGAGATGTGTCCTGGTGCCCTCTCGACCGCCCTCATCCAACCCCAGGTCCTGCCTCTGGTGAGGAGCCACGTTCGGGGGTTGAACCCCTAGGAGATGCGCCCTGGTGCCCTCCCAACCACCACCAGGTTCTGGTGCCCATTGAGGAGCCACATTTGGGGGTTGAACCACCTGGAGATGCACCCCGGTGCCCTCCCAACCACCCTCGGGTGTTGGTGCCCATCAAGGAGCCACGTTTGGGGCTCAAGCCCCCAAGAAGTTGCACTCTGGTGCCCACGCAACCACCCCCGGGTTCTGGTGCCCATTGAGGAGCCACATTTGGGGGTTGAACCCCCCTGGAGATGCGCCCCGGTGCCCTCCCAACCACCCTCGGGTGTTGGTGCCCATCAAGGAGCCACGTTTGGGGCTCAACCCCCCAAGAAGTTGCACCCCAGTGCCCACCCAACCACCCCCAGGTTCTGGTCCCCATCAAGGAGCCACATTTGGGGGTTGAACCCCCAAGAAGTTGCACCCCAGTGCCCACCCAACCACCCCCAGGTTCTGGTCCCCATCAAGGAGCCACATTTGGGGGTCGAACCCCCTGGAGATGCGCCCCGGTGCCCTCCCAAGCACCCTCGGGTTCTGGTGCCCAACGAGGAGCCACATTTGGGGCTCGACCCCCCAAGAAGTTGCACCCCAGTGCCCACCCAACCATCCCCAGGTTCTGGTGCCCATTGAGGAGCCACGTTTGGGGGTTGAACCCCCTGGAGCTGCACCCTGGTGCCCTCCCAAGCACCCTCGGGTTCTGGTGCCCAACGAGGAGCCACATTTGGGGCTCGACCCCCCAAGAAGTTGCACCCCAGTGCCATCCTGACCACCCCCAGGTTCTGGTCCCCATTGAGGAGCCACATTTGGGGGTTGAACCCCCAAGAAGTTGCACCCCAGTGCCCACCCAACCACCCCCAGGTTCTGGCGCCCATCGAGGAGCCACGTTTTGAGGTTGATCCCACCACCCCGGCCCCCTCCTGGCTCCGTGTCCCCCCCCTTCCCCATCCAGCGGGGTCACCCCACGGCCCCGGGGTTTCCTGGAGCCGGGCGGAAGATACCGGAGCCGCGGCTGGATTAGAGGAGAAGGCGGAGGAAGCCGTTTCCTCCTCCAGCCCCAGATAAAAACCCGGGGTTGGCCGTGGCAGGAGGAAGACGCGCCCGCGGCCGTGGTGCTTCACCAGCTCGGGTGGAGCTTCCCCTCCCCGTGGCCGCGCGGCCCCACGCCAACCCCCGGTAGGAAGATGGGGGGGACCAGGGGTTGGGGAGGGGGGAGGGGGGGCCCCTGGGGGGGGTGTGGGGGGGTCCCTGGGGTGGCCCTGGATGGGGGGAAGTCAGGGCAGCTCTTGGCCTTCCCTTCTTTCTTTCAGCCCTCCCCCATCCCTCCCTCTGGTCTTTCCCATCCTCCCGTCCCTTCCCCCTTTTTCCCATCCTCCCTCCCCCCCTTTTCCTGTCCTCCCTTCCCTCTTTTCCCCTGTCCTCCCTCTCCTCTTTTCCTTCCCCTTTTTTCCATCCTCCCTCCCCTCTTTTCCTGTCCTCCCTTCCCTCTTTTCCCCTGTCCTCCCTCTCCTCTTTTCCTTCCCCTTTTTTCCATCCTCCCTCCCCTCTTTTCCCTCCCCTCTTTTCCCTCCCCTCTTTTCCCTCCCCTCTTTTCCCTCCTCTCTTTTCCCATCCTCCCTCCCCTGTTTCCCTTCCCCCTTTTCCCACCCTCCCTTCCCTCTTTTCCCTTCCCTCTTTTTCCCTGCCCTCCCCCTCCTTTCCCTTCCCCTTTTTCCTTCCCCTTTTTCCTTCCCCTTTCCCCTTCCCTCTTTCCCCTTCCCTCTTTTCCCTCCCCTCTTTTCCCTCCTCTCTTTTCCCATCCTCCCTCCCCTGTTTCCCTTCCCCCTTTTCCCATCCTCCCTTCCCTCTTTTCCCTTCCCTCTTTTTCCCTGCCCTCCCCCTCCTTTCCCTTCCCCTTTTCCCATCCTTCCTCCCCTCTTTCCCATCTCTCTCTTCCCCCCTCCCTCCCTTTCCCTGCCCCCAGCCCCATTTACCTCCTCTCCTCCCGACACCCCGTGTCCCCAAAGATCCGTGTCCCCACCCTGACCCCCCACCCTGCCACGGGCCACCCAGGACTGGTGTCACCCCCTCGCCATCTCCCCACAGCTCCCGGCCCTCCGGCATGAAGGTCCTGCTGGTGTTGCTCCTGGCGCTGGTAGCCACAGGTAGGAGAGGTCCTGGGACCCCCCACGTCCACCCGTGGGACCCCCGTGTCTGCCCTAGAAGGTCCCACGTCCACCCGTGGCACCCCCACGCCCACCCCAAGGGGTCAGGTATCTTCCCCAGGGGTCCCACGTCTGCCCGCGGGACCTCCCCACATCTACCTTGGGTGACCCGTGTCCTGCCGCCGGACCCCCGTGTCCATCTTGCAGGGCCCGTGTCCACCCGTGGGACCCTCATGTCCACCTTGGGTGCCCCACATCCAGCTATGGGACCCCCCCCAACACGTCTTCTCCAAGGTGTCGTGTGTCTTCCCAGGGGTCCTGTTTCCACCCATGGGACCCTCCACAGCCACCTTGGGTGCCCCACATCCACCTGTGGGACCCCCGTGTCCACCCGTGTCCCTCCCCAGGGGCACCACAGCTGCTCTAGGTGCCCCACGGCTGTCTCAGGGACCTCCATGTCCCCCCGTGGGACCCCCCCTCCATCTACCTGGGGTGTCCCTTGTCCCCCTGTGGAACCCCCCAAGGCCCACCTGTGTCCACCCCAGGGGTGGTTCCACGTCTACCTGTGGGACCACCAAGCCCACCCTGGGGGCCCTCCTCTCTCACGGGAGTCCCCCTGGCACCCCAAACCCACCTTGGGTGCTCCCCCCACTGTACCCGAGACCCCACACCCACCCACGCCACCCCCATGCCCACCCCATGGGCCCCACGTTCACTCGCATCCACCCCAGGGGCCCCAGAGCCACCCATGGGACCCCCCCCCATTCACCCCAGAGACCCCCCCGGGTGTCCCCTGTCCACCCCACGGACCCCATGGTCTCTCCCACGTTGGACTGGCCTCTTCCACCCGTGGGACACGGGGCTGAGGCCACCATGTCACACCAGCGGGTCCCAGCCTACCCCATGCCCCCCGTGTCACGTCCTTTTGTCCCCGCAGCCTCGAGGAACGTCCTGTGGGTGATCGAGGGGACCTCCTGCGACCTGCCCTGGCAGGCTGCCCTCTTCAAAGGCGAGAAGTTCATCTGTGGGGGGACACTGGTGGCCAGGAACTGGGTGCTGACGGCCGCCCACTGCCACGTCCCTGGGTAGGAGGCCACAGGGCCAGCGGTGGCCGGTGGGTTCGGTGTCGATGGGCTGAGGCCAACCAGGAATTGATCCGGGTGGCACCTGGGCTCCTGCCAAGCAGGTTGGGAGGTTGATGGCATCTCGGCGGGCTTCGCTCTGCCCCTTTCCTGCTTGTTTTTAACCTAAAATTCCGCCCTTTTTTTGGGGGGAAAGACACAGCCTAAACTCTGCCCTTTTTTGGGGAAGCCATAACCTAAACTCTGCCCTTTTCTGGGGGGAAGCCATAGCCTAAACTCTGCCCTTTTTGGGGGAAAAACATAACCTTAACTCTGCCCTTTTTCTGGGGGAAAGACATAACCTAAACTCTGCCATTTTGGGGGGAATCCATAACCTAAACTCTGCCCTTTTTTGGGGATGTCATAACCTAACTTCTGCCCTTTTTTGGGGGGGGAAAGACATAACCTAAACTGCCTGTTTGGGCGAAAGACTTAACCTAAACTCTGCCCTTTTCTGGGGGGAAATAACCTAAACTCTGACTTTTTTGAGGGAAGCCATAACCAAAACTCTGCCCTTTTTGGGGGGGAAAACATAACCTTAACTCTTTCCTTTTTGGGGGGAAGCCATAACCCTTTTCTGGTCAAGCGATAATGTAAACTCTGACCTTTTTTTTGGGGGGGGGGGGCGGGGGGGGAAAGACATAACCTTGCCTCTGCCCTTTTTCTGCTTCTTCTGCCCTTATCCCCACCTCCTGGGACCGCAGCTCTGCCCCTGCTTTGTGTGGATCCCCGTGGCCCCTCCTGCGTCCAATGTGGACACCCCCCCCTTCCCCCCCCCCCCCCCCCCCCCAACCCTGATGCCTTTGGCTCCATCAGCATCATCAACGTGCGTCTGGGGGGCCAGAGCCACAAGGACTCGGGTGACACCAAGCAGTGGCGCCGCTCGGCCAAGGTCTTCAAGCACCCGCGCTACAACGAGACCAACAAGGACGGCGACCTGATGCTCATCAAGTTCCTCCTCCCCGCCCACGTCAACAAGCACGTGAAGCCGCTGCCGTTGGCCACCCACTGCCCCGTGCCCGGCACGACCTGCCAGATCTCCGGCTGGGGGTCCACCACCAGCCCTGAAGGTATGAAGCCGCTCGCCTGGTATCTGGAGGTGCACTGATAACCCTTCCCTGAGGTGTCCGGGCTCCCCCCAAAGTCCCTTTTCCCAGTCCTGTTGGTCCCACTCTGCCCTTTAGGCACCTGTGACCCCTGAGGGAACCCAAGGCGGCGGGGTGACTTCTTCAACAAGAAGCCTTGGAGCTCCTGCTGACCAAAGAAGGGAGATGAGCTCCAAGGCGAAGACCGAGCGGTCCAAGCTGGGTCACTGTGTCTGTCACACCCCCCCGCCCCGGGTGACCTCGTGCCCTCTTGTCACCCACAGTCACCTTCCCCGAGGACCTCCACTGCGCCAAGGTCACCATCGTCTCGGAGGAGCAGTGCCGGCGCATCTACTCTGACTCCATCACCACCAACATGGTGTGCGCGGGCGAGTCCCGCAGCCGGGCTGACTCCTGCCAGGTGGGTGTGGGGTCCAGTCGTTTCGGGGACACCCCCCTCCCCCCCTCCACTCCGGGGTGAGGAACCCCCCGAGGGAAAGTTTTGGGCTGAGAACGGGCCCAATTGGGTGAGACGGGGTCACTCGGCGGGGAGAGGAGGTGGGTGAAGATGCTGGGACAGCCCTGAAATGGCCCCCGGATTTGGGGGTCATTCTTTGGGGCAGGCCATTAGTCGCAGCTCTCCTTCCCCCCCCCCCCCTTTTTGCCTCATCAGGGTGACTCCGGGGGACCCCTCATGTGCGACGGGCGGCTCCAAGGTATCGTCTCTTGGGGTCCGGGCGTCTGCGGGGACCCCAAAAAACCCGGCGTCTACGTCAACCTCTGCAAATACACCTGGTGGCTCCAGGACACCATGAGAAGGAACTGAGCCCCCGGCCCCGCCAGCCCTGGGACGGACCCCACAGCTCCTCCTCCTCCTCCTCCCTGATGAAGGTCCCCAGAGCCGGCCGGTCCGAGCGCTGGGGCACAAGCCCTGGGCAGGGGTGGGGGCGGCGGGTGGAGGCAGGGGTTGACCATGGTGGGGGGTCCTGTTGAGACGTCCACGAATAAAGTTTTTTTCGACGTGGCTTTTCACCATGTCTTTAACAGGTGGAGCAGAGCTCAGGTGGGTCAAGGTTGCCCTGATGTTGCCCCACATCTCCTAGGGGCAGGGGAAGACCCAGCTCACCATCTTGGGGGTTCACCCGTTGGCCCTGTCATGGGCTTGACCTCTTGACCCCACCATGAGGTAGACCCATTGACCCTACTGGAGGTAGACCTCTTGACCTCACTGCAGTAGACCCGTTGACCCCCCCCACCCCCCATGGGGTAGAGCACCCCGAGGTAGACCCGTTGTCCCCGCCATGGGGCAGATGACCACCTTGAGGTAGACCCGTTGACCCCACCGTGGGCTAGACCGCCACGAGGTTGACCCTACTGCAGGTAGATCTGTTGCCCACCCCTCATTGGGCCAGACCTGTTGCCTGGTTTAGGGTCACCCAGAGTTCTTTGCACCACCACAAGGCGGGGGGGATGACGGCCATCTTGGTGTCACACCCCCCACCCCCACCCCCCCCCACACACACAAGCTCTTGCAATACCTTGAGGCCAGACCCTCCTTTTGGGTGCCACCATCCCAGCCCCATCTCCATGGGCCAACGTGTGACCGGGGGAGAACTTCCCATCCCCAGAGGGGACAAATTTCCCCATGACTCAGCGGGAGCAGAAGGGGCCAAATTTCCCCACCTGGGGTAACGCGGCAGCAGATCCGGGAAGAAATCACCCGCTGGAGGCCAAATTTACCCGCTCGCGTGGAGCCGAGGCCTCTGTTTCACAGGAGTGAGGAGGATTTTTTTTCGCCTCCGTGGGGGTTGGGGGGGGGGGGTCATCACGGCCCCATCTTGGTGGTGGGGGTGGGATGGAGAGCGCCTTCACCCCGGCGTGTCTACGGGACACGGCGGGAGGGTTGGCGGGCCGCGAGAGCGCCTCGCTGTCTTTCCCCGGCGCAAGAGGAGAACCTGGCAAGGTCAGACCAGCACGTGTCGTCCCCCATGGCTCAGCGGGGCAGGGAGCGACGCTGGTCGCCTTGCGCAAGGTGTCACCCTCCCTCTTCCCCCACGTGGCCGAGGCCCGGCGCGTTGGAGGGTGTGGGCCTCGTCTGGCCGCCGCGGTGGGGAAAGAGGTTTTGGGCCGGGTCCAAATCTCCAGGGAGGTGGAGGAGCCCACGGCGGCCACCGGTGACTTCTGCGGGCTCTCGCTCGGCGTTTCGCGGGAAGGTCGGACCACCTTTCAGCAGCCCGTGAAGGGCGTTTGACGGGGAGGGTCCCACCTTGGTGGCCGTCAGCTGTGGTGGGCTGCCACAGCGGGCTCCGGCACCGGCTGCTTTGGGTCCTCCATCATCCGGGGAGGGCTGGTCGAGGTGTTTATTGGTTCTCATCAACGTGTTCAGGGAGGGCTGGTCAATGCGTTCATGGAGGGGTGGTCGACGCGTCCACAGAAGGGTGGCCGACGTGTCCAGGGAGGGGTGGCCAACATGTCCATGGAGGTCTGGCCAACGTCTCCACGGAAGGGTGGTCAACGTGTCTATGGGAGGGCTGGTGGACATGTCCAGGGAGGTCTGGCCAATGTATCCAGGGTGGGTTGGTCGACGTGTCCGTGGGATCTCTCAACGTATTTCTGAAGGCACAACCAAGGCGTCCATCAGGGTCTACCTAAGACGGCCGCGGAGGTCTACTCCCCGTGCCCACGGAGGGTTGGCCATCACCTCGTTGGGGTCTATGCAACAAAGTCTGGTCACTGCAACCCTTGGGGTTAGGTCCAGCTGTCTGTGGAGGCGCAGGTGCCACAGTCATGTCCGTGGGGGGTGTCCAGTAAAGTCACTGTGTCCACGGAGGTGAAGTTCAACCATCCCTTCGTCGAGTCAGGACCACCACGGAGCCCAGTTCTGCTGCCTGGGGCAGTGAGCCACCAGCGGGGAAGGAGACACCCACCTTGGGTGCCCCAGGAGGTCTCCAGGTCCACGTGGCTTCAAGGGTGGCTGTGGGACCACGGTGGGGGAGGTTGGGGGTGGGGGGAATGGAATTTGCGTTAGCCTGAAGGTGAGGGTGGGCACGGCTCTGCCAACAGCCGGAGTGTGGCCACTGCCACCGCAGCCGAGAGCCGGGCACCGGTGTCACCACCCCCCCACCCCCCCCCCCCATTCTTGTGTCACCCGTGTCCCCTGAGCCACCTCCTGTGTCACCCGGGGCACTGCCACCCCCTTGTGTCACCCGGGGCACTGCCACCCACGGCGCTACCAGCCCATGTGTCACCCAGGGCCACCACCACCCCACCACCCCCCTGGGTCACCCAGGGCACTGCCACCCCCCTTGTGTCACCCGGGGCACTGCCACCCACGGCGCTGCCACTCCGCGTGTCAACCAAGGCCACCTACGATGTCACCTAGGGCACTGCCACCTCTCGTGTCACCCGGGGCCACCCTGGCCACAGCACGCCCAGGGCTGTGAGGACATCTGGGAGGGGACAGGAGATGGAGGAGGGGGGGGTGGCACGTCCCCTCCCTGTCACTGTAAGTCGGCAGGGGGGGGTGGGGAGGGGGGTGGGGGGGGGGTGTGTGTGCCAGGAGGTCCTGGGTGGCCCTGGCAGTGGGTGGCAGGCCCAGGCTGGCTCTGGGCTAATTAGGTAATTAGCACTAATTACGCCACCGAGATGGGAGCTGAGGAACTGGGAGAACTGGTTGGGCCCAGCCCCAGCCCCCAGCGCTGCGCTAACATCATCACCACCCCACCATCCCCCCCCCCTCCCCCCCCAAATCTCCGTGGGGCTCTGGGGCCCCTCGTGTCCCCACACCCCCTCGTGCCACCTCTTATTCCCCGCAGTGCCCCACGTCCCCTCACTTGCCCCCCCGCCCCCCCTTCCACCAGGGTCCCCCCGTGGGCTCCTGGGTCCCCCACGTCCCCCCCGGGTCACTTAATGTCCTCCCCTGCCCCCTCGACTCTCCCCACATCCCCTCCTGACCAGCCCCACCCCCCCCTCCATCTTCCCTTGTGGGTCCCCTCCACATCCACCCACGACCCCTTGTGTCTTCTCATGCTCTCATGTCTTCCCCCCTCCATGTCCCCTCACACATCATGTCCCCGTGGCTCCCTCATGTCACACACCCCCCCCTCTATGAGCTCTCCTCTCCCCTCACACATCCCCTGTTCCCCCCTCCCCCCCCAACCCAGGATCTCAGGGGAGCCCCCGTGTCACCTCACGAAGTCCCCCTCGTGTCCCCAGGGGATCAGGGACCCTCACACGTGGGATCTCTGGGGACCTTCATGGTGAGGATGTCCACCCAGCAGATCCCCACGGACAGGATCCCCGTGGACGGGACCTCTGGGGCCCACATCCCCACGGCTGGTGGTGTCTGTGGGGCGGATCCCTGTGGACAGGACCTCTGGGGCCCACATCCCCACGGCTGGTGGTGTCTGTGGGGCGGATCCCCGGGGACGGGATCCCCGCGGGTTGAAGCCTTGCAGAATTGACCTCCGTGGCCCAGGGTGACCGTGTCCTCTCCCTTCACAGGGGGCATCTCCATGGACGGGATCCCAGCGGATGAGATCTCTGCCCGCCACGTCTCCCCACCAGGATCGCCCCCGGGGTGGGATGCCCACGGCTGATCTCTGCAGCTGGCCACTCCACGGACAGGATCTCCACGGACCGGATCCCCGTAGCGGAGATCAATGTGGACCAAATCTCCACGGATGGGATTTCCACGGACCAGATCCCCATGGGTGGGATTTCCACAGACCAGATCCCCATGGGTGGGATTCCCACAGACACGGTCTCCATGGGTGGGATTTCCACAGAGCAGATCCTCATGGATGGGATCTTACTGAACCAGATGGCCTTGGAGCCTGGCGGACCGGATCCTGGTGGATGGGATCTCTGTGGACCAGATCTCCTTGGGAGAAGGTCACCATGACTGGTGGGTGACAACTCCACGGCATGGGATCTCTGCTGCACGGCCTCCTGGTAGGCGAGACCTCCGTGGGCCAAGCCTCCACAGATGGGCTCCCCAAGGCCACAACCTCTTCGTTGACGTTCTCCCCAGACCAGATTTCCGTGGATCTGCTGGGACAGTTGCTCTTCCAGGAGCTCCAGCTTCACTTCCAGGTTTAGGACCAAAGCCAGACCCAGGCTTCCGCTTGCCACCAGCAGAGAGCGAGATCAGCATCTCCAAACGGTGATTCATCCCAACCAGGCCTTTCCTTTCATCAGGACTCAGCTCCTGGGCTTCTCCGCCCTTAATTGCTCGTCAGGTTGTTAATTGCCTTGAGCTGCTCCCAGCCTCGGCTCCTCTCCCGGCCCTGCCAAACGGGCCGTTGAAGAGGCACAGAGGTGCCTCCACACCACCCCTGGAGCTCCTGCACCCACATCGCAGCTCCGGTCCCACCCCGTCAAGGATGGGGTGGCTTTCGAGGACCCATCGGTGCCACAAAACCTCTTGAGACCTTCCCACCGTGGGACGTGCCGGAGCTCGGACACGGCTCTTCCACAGGGAGGGGAACCACGGGCGGAAAAGGGCTTGAACCTCCCGGAAAGAGATTACTGGGGGCTAGCGACCGCTGCTGAGCTCAGCAGGAATTTCGGGCCACCCGCCCCGTCTGCCCGGTGCCTGGCACACGTCCCGGCACGCAGGCGAAACCCGCCCGGGGAAGGGCCGGGAGACGCCGCCGGGGTCCCCGGCTGTTGCCACCCCCCCCGGGCGGAGATGTCCCAGGTAGCCCTGGGGACGGCGGGTGACACTGTTTGCACCTGGGTCACCATCTCGAGGGGCGAGGGGTGGTCACCTCCCACTTTGGAGACTCCCCCCACCCCTCCGTGCCGTTGTGAGGAAGAAGGAGGTGACGCGCCTCTGGGGTTGGGGACAATTGTCCAGCCCGGGGAGTTGGGGGTGAGGTGGGGGGTGGTGTGTGACAAGTGGCACCCCCATCTCCGGTGTCCCCCTTGACTCACCAGAAGCGACTCGCAGGGTTGGCGACGGGACGGGGCCTCGCCCAGCGCTCACCCACATCCGTGGCGTTACTCATCGGGGACGTGCAACCGCTGCCGGGTGCCACCGGAAGGTGACACGTAGGTCCCTGGGGACCTCCAGGCTGGTGACATCCTCCAGGAGCCATGTCCCCCACCCCGGAGTTATTTTTTTTGGGGGGGGGGGTCCCTATTTTGAGGTGGCCCCCTGGGCTGGGAGAAGACCCCCGTGCTCTTTTTGCGCACGCCAAGCTGTTCTTGCACATGCAGGAGCATGTGTGTGTGGGGGGGGAGCGTGTGCACACGCTTGTGCGTGTAATGTGGTGTCTGCTGGGCTTGGGGTGTGGACGGATGGACAGATGGATGGGTGGATAGATGGACAGAAGGATGGAGGGAGGGATGGAGGGAGGGATGGAGGGAGGGATGGATGGATGGATGAAGGGATGGATGGATGGATGGGTGGATGGATGGATGAAGGGATGGATGGATGGGTGGATGGATGGATGGATGGAGGGAGGGATGGATGGATGGACGGAGGGATGGACAGATAGATGAAGGGATGGACAGAGGGACAGAGGGACGGACAAGTAGATGAAGGGATGGATGGAGGGATGGACAGAAGGATGGACAGAGGGATGGACAGGTAGATGAAGGGATTGACAGAGGGACAGATGGACGGATGGATGGATGAAGGGATGGATGAAGGGATGGATCAGTGGGTGGGCAGATGGGCAGACAGATAGGAGGACATACAGACAGACAGCTCACTGGAAAGACAGGTGGCAGGGTGGCTGGACAGACAGGCAGACAGCTGGGCAGATGAGGGAATACGGTGGAGGTGAACAGCTTGAGATGCGAGCGATTGACTGCTGGTGGGCAGACAGACGGGCTGATGGAGAGATGAATGATGGACAGACTGGCGAACAGACGGACGGACAGTGAAGCAGCTGGCTGGCTGGCTGGGACGGAGAGATGGACAGAGAAGCTGTTGGACAGATGGACTTATGGACTTGCAGTAGGATGGATGGATGGATGGATGGATGGATGGATGGATGGACGGACGGACGGACGGGCGGACGGATGGACTTACAGCAGGATGGACAGAGAGGATTATAGATGGATGGGGGACAGACAGACAGATGGACAGACTTACAGGTGGACAGCGGGATGGCCAGACTGACAGAGGGGTGGACATGGAGACAGATGAACGGCCAGGCAGGTGGGAGGACAGACAGACGGACAGCTATCCGGACAGGCTTACAGTTGCTTGGACAGACAGATGGCTGGGCAGGTGGACAGAGGGATGGGACAGAGGGATGGATCACCAGACAAACGGATGGACAGGCAGGAGGAAGATCCCCCGTTACCTCCCACCACCCCTGGGGGCTGGGTGGGCACCCCGACACCCCGGGTTGTTTTTTTTTTGGGGGGAGCGGGGGAAACAGACACACACAGGACTCCTCACCCTCCCCGTGTCCGTGGGGAGGGCTGGGCGGTTCCCCCGTTCGGCGAGGAGCCCGGCGGTGTTTCCTCCCGGACATCAAAGCGATAACCACCGGCGGGGCCGGGGAGACACCCACGGGCCACGCTCGTCCCGCTGCCGCGTGGCCCGGTCACCCAACCACTCTTGAGTCACTCCCCCGGAGACACAGCCTACTTTTCGCCCTGGGTATAAATACGCCTGAGCCACCGGCTCTCAGCTTCCCGACACGCCGAGCCGGCCCCATCCTTCTCCTCCGGCAGGTGAGCCCATCCCCGTGGACCTGGGCCACGGATTTCCCCCCCACCCCGCCGAAGGATGGACGCTGCGGGGCGGCGTGGGAACCAGGGGGTTCCCCAGCTCTCGGTGGGCGTTTCCCGCCAGTCGGCTCCATCTGTCCGCCACGCGCTCAGCCCATGCGGTGGGCTCTGGTTTGGGTGGGTTTGGTGGGAACACCCTCCATAGCCTGGTTTAGCCCGGATCTCCCAGTCGCACACCCATCGGAGGCGGGGTGGGCGGCGGGGGTGGTCCTTCCTGAGCTGGTGCGGGGGTGGGTTTGGTGCCACCGGAGAGCTCGACTCAACCAAAAACGGGGTGGTGGAGAGGGGCCAAGACCACCCCGAGGTCCGTCAGGGTGAAGGTCCACCAAAACACCACCAGCAGCTCGGTCACTTCGCCTCCATCCCGTGGGGAAGGCAGAAGGACACCAGTGAGGACCTTCCCCGTAGCATCCACGTGGCACCAGCCTCTCTCCTGCAGCCCCAGGGCTGATCCGGTTTGGTTTCTCTGCTCCAGGAATGGCTCGTGATGGCCACGGGACCTTCGGCTTCATCCCCATCTTCATCCTGGCAGCCGGCCTGCTGCTAACAGCCCTGCCGCCGGCGCGAGCTCAGGTGAAGGGCAATGAAGGCGACGAGTGTAAGTCAAGGCGGTGGCCAAGGAGGGAGGACGGGGCCACCACGGGCTTTCCCTGGGCATCTTGTAAGGGAACGTGTCCCATGGGATGGGGTGGGATGGGATGAGGAGATGCCTCCTCTTGGCTCGTGGGAATCTTGCCGACGGGGAGGTTTGGGCATGGCCCTACCGTTTCGAAACCTGTTTTGGTTTCGAGCTGAGAGAAAGCAAACACCCCCCTCGACGCAGAGAAATGGGCCCAAAAGATCCGCAGAGGAAAATTCCCGCATCCCATCGGAGGCACTGGGATTTCCGGGATCTAACCTTCTCTCCCACCTCTGGAAGTTCCGATGGGGATTTCTGTCACAGCGGCAAAAAGGAGACAAAAAAGGGAAAGAAAGGAGAGACCGAATCCTGATGGCACCATCCCCTTCCCTTCTTTTGGCCTCCAAAATGATGCGCTGCCAAAGGAGATCCCGACTGGACAGAAAGAGGAGGCCTGGGATTTCCAACGGTTGGATGCAAAGACCTCGGATCTGACCTGATCTCGGGGCCTTTTAACCCAAACTGGTGTCCCCAAGAGCTGAAGCCAAAATGCCCAGGTCCTGAGGAGAAGGAACAGGGTCAAGGCCAAACACGATGGCTGGATAATTTGTCTCCGTGACTGTTCAAGAACTGTTTTTTTTTTTGGGGGGGGGGGGGGGGCAGGGTTATCATTTGGGATGGAGCCACCATCTTCTTGGTTGGAGCTCTCCAGCTTCTGGAAATCCAGGCGATGGATTCTACCACAGGGCAGGATCCACCATCTTGCGTTGCCAACGTCACCGCTGATCCACCTTTGTTGACGGATACCCCTCCACTGTGGGGGAGCTCGGGGAAGCCTCTGAGATGCCCTCAAGATGCTCGGTGGAATCTAAACATGCTGATTGGTGTCCAAAGGCTCAAGGACGGCCCTCGGGATGACCATGGACGTTTCCCTCGATGAGCACTGGCGGGAGGATGATTCCCACCCTCCGACTCTGGCAGCGCTGCCGGGACCGGATAGGGGCGAATGCCAGGCGCCTTGAAACTGGGGCGTCTCCCACTGCCACCCGTCACAGGTTGCAATCCCCACCGGCACAAACCAGTCCCACCAGTAAATTCCAATGTCCCAACCTTCGGTGGAAGGCAAGATACCGTGGACCGGAGCCACCTCGCACACGTTCGGGATCAATACAGGGCTTCCCCAGGGCAGCCAACACTCAGAGGTGACACAACTGCGAATTCTCCCCAAAATAGCCAAAAAACGGGTGGGGTGCCCCAGGCCACGGCAGGGAGGACTCAGCCCCCAAACCCATGAGGACACCTCGGGGAGCAAGGACTTGATATCGCCCATTTGGAAGTCCTACTGCGTGTTTTTGGGGTGGGAGGAGGGTCTTTTTCTTGAAAGAACACCTTTTTTTTTACACTGATTATCCTCTTTTTCTTTTTTTTTTTTTAAAAAAAAAAAAACAAAAAAACAAAAAAACAAACAAAACAATCTTGCCTCCTCCCACTCGGACACAACTCAGCATCAGGGGTCTTCTCCAGTGGCCTTGGCGGAGTTGCCACCTGAAGTTCCCCAAAGGCCTGCATGGAGCTGTAGGTGGAGGCTAGGAGGGACACCGGGAGCACGTCTCAAGGCTTTGGACTCCCCTTGCGTGGCCACCCAAGAGGAGCTCTGCGTGGTCACAGCCTCCAGATGGCCACAGCCACCAAGACGGTTAGCGGCCTCAAGATGGTCACCCCACGAACCTCCTTCATCACAAATACCCTGACGAGGCGAGGGGCACCTCACCTTGTAGACACCTGATGGTGGATGGGGGTGGGATTGTCTCTCAGAATGGTCCCTTCCTCTCTCCAAGGACCATCAACGTTGGGCAACTCCAGTGGACACCCCCCACCCGCTGCAGCCACCTAAAGCAAAGAGAGATGCCTCCAGGGACCTCAAAAGGATGGCAGATGGATCCCGGGACCTCAAAAGGTTGGGAGATGGCTCCAGGGACCTCAAAAGATTGGGAGATGGCTCCCGGGACCTAAAAAGGTTGGGAGATGGCTCCCAGGACCTCAAAAGATTGGGAGATACCTCCCTGCACCTCAAAAGGTTGGGACATGCCACCAGAGACCTGAAAGAGCGAGAGGTCCTTGTCAGAAGCGGGGGCTGCAAGTGGCGCGACGCTTTTTCTAAGATCTGATCAAAGACCCTCCCAAGCCAAGGTGGTGGCACCTTCTTCTCAATCAACCCGATGAGACCAAGACATCTCGGCTCCAGAGCGACGTAAGGACTCGCGTTCCTGAGCGAACTCCTCATTTCTCTCTGCATCAGGGCTTCTCCTGGTCATGTTGATGCAACCATCTCCTACCCTGGCCCCGACGTGGGGACGTGAGCCACCCAGGAGGTAGGAGGATTTTCGAGCTGGTCCTACAGGCTTTCTCACCAACCAAGGACGGAGAAATCAGCTCTTTTAGAGGTGCGTCATCTCCCTTTTGGAGTCCAATCTTGGGCTGGGAGGAATCTCAGGGGTGGAACGGATGCCCCTCCCAGAAGCACATGGCGAAACCGGAGGAGATAAGTGGCTCCTGGTGACTTCCTGATGCGCGGTGACTTCCAGGACAGCTCATTGGCACAACGCAGCCTGACAGACCGGTCCCAGGGGTCTTCCTCCTGGGAGGTCCCACCTCAGTCCTCTGCCTGGGATGGGCGGGCAAGTCGTGGAGTCCATCAACCGGCGCCAGGAGAAAACAGACCTTCAAGGACCGGTTCAATCTTGGCTACAGATGGTTGGATCTCAACTCATCCCCAAATCATCGTTTTTTCAATAAAAAAAAAAAGCCTGGTGGGACCCCGGTAGGATGATAGGTGACTCAGTAAATTAAAAAAAAAAAAATATTAATTTTAGGTTTTTAAGACGCTTTTGAGTGTTCTGATGGGAGTTTAAGGCTGAAAAAAGAGCGACCTTTTCTTTTTCTCTTTCATTTCACCTTTTCAAAGACGTTTTTTGCAATGTTTCGCTGCCTTTTCAACCCAAAATGGCAGGTTTGGGGTTGGTTTTTGTTGTTTTTGTTTTGGTTTTGGTTTTTTTTTTTTTTTTTTGAAGAGTTTGCAGGCTCCATCCATGCGTCGCACTCACGGCACCCTTGGGTGCTCTGTGTTACAGTGCCGGAGGAGGACGAGTCCCGGATCATCGGTGGGAGACCCTGCTCCATCAGCGACAGACCTTTCCAAGTTGCCCTCATCAAGAGAGGTCAGATCCTGTGTGGGGGAAGCTTGATAGACGCCCAGTGGGTCCTGACCGCCGCCCACTGCAAGCAGCCAACCAGGTAAGGTGGGGCCGTGCTCACGTGACCCATGGCTTCCGGTGAGCCGATGTCACCTTTCCCAGGACTCCGCAATGACCAAGGGTGAGAGGTGGGTCCTCCAGGTGTTGGCGCCCAGCCGCTGGAAGATGATGCCTCCAAGTGGTGGCATCTGGAGATGCCCCAGATGTTGGCGTCTCCAGGGGTCCGTTGCCTCCAGATGTGGACACATTCAGATTTCGGTGGCCAGAAGTTGAGGCTGGCACCTTCAGGGGTTGGGAGCTCCAGGGCTGGGGACCTCCAGAGGTTGGTACGTTCAGATATTCATACCCCAGATGTTACCTTCAGAGCCTGGAGGTCCCCGTGGCCAGTAGCTCCAGATGTTGATGTTCCAGGCCTGGGTGTCTCCAGATGTTGGTGTCCAGGTGGTGGCACCTCTTGAGGGCAATGAAGGCACAGCCATCCCACCTTGGCTCGTCCCCCCCCTCCTCAAACCAAGTTTCTCCAGCTTCGCCCCAAGGTCCTGCGAGAGGGCGCTGGACCTTTTGGAGGGGAAATAATGAAAAAGAGCCGGCAAAAAGTCGGCAAGCAGTTGGGCTGAGGGCAACAGCGCTGAGATGTTGCAGGTGGGGCTCCTGGAGTCAGGAAGAGGAAGTCAAGACACGCCACAGTTTCCCGTGGAGATGGCAGACGCCCCCAGGGCACCTGGGCCATCAGGGAGCTCTTGGAGAAGAGCTGGCTCATGAATCCGCAAGGCAGTAGCGTGTTTTCCTGGCCTCCTCTCCAGGGGAAACGGGATATGGTGGTCACCTTAATTCTACCCGCTCAATGTGGAGAAGCTCCAATGGCCAGGTCTTGACCATCTCCTTGAGGCCAAGGGTTTATGAGTCCCCTCTGGAGGGACCAGCACTGATTTCTTGACCTTTTTCCCCTGGCCAGGGACCTGAGGGTGTTGATCGGGACGAACACGTTACAAGACGGGACAGGGGTAATGAGGTCGATTTCGAAGCTCCAGGTCCACCCGGCCTACAACCCCCACAAGAACGACAATGACTTCATGCTCTTGAGGTTGAACAAGCCCGTTCAGTTCAGCAATAACATCAAGAAGATCCGGTTAGCCACCAAGTGTCCCACGGATGGGATGAGGTGCAGCGTCTCGGGTTGGGGCACGACCAAGTCCCCTGGAGGTACTGACTCGTGACGGAGACCACGGTGGAAGAGGCGGGATGAAGGGTGGCAACTGGGTGGGGGGAGAGGGTTTGCCAAGGAGACCGGGTGACCTTCTCAACCGGGACAACAGGACAAGGGCTTACTTGGCGTCACCTTAACTCTGCCCAGCACCTTCCCACGGAGAACGACTCCCAGTTGGCTTTCACTTCCGGGGTTGGGTTTCCTTTGCTTTGACCTCCCCCTCTCTACTGGAAGCATCTCCGCCCTCCACCTCCCCAAGAACCCTACGGGAGGTGGCACGAGGTCTCCTCCAGCCTCAGTGTTGGCGGTGGTGGAAGGGGGGAGTTTCTCCTTCTCACCGCCCTCCTTCTCTCCCCATCCCCACCTCGTTCCACAGCCAAGCTGCCCCGAAATCTCCAGTGCGCCGCCATCCAAGCCTTCGGGAGGGAGAAGTGCATGAGGGCGTACGGATCCGCCATCACCCCCAACATGTTCTGCGCCGGCGTCCCCCAGGGGGGCATCGATTCCTGCCAGGTACGAAGCGGGTGACGTCCCTCAGGCCACCTCCCAGGATGCCGCCGGGGAGAGGAGGGTCTTGGTGTGGCTTTGAGGTCAAGGCCAAGGGGGTGAGCTGGGGTTTGGGTTCCTGCAAGGTGAGCCAGGAAAGCGAGGAAGGGCCACAGCGCGTGGGTGGTTCTATGCAAGGTTTGGGGTTCCACCAATGACGTTCTTCTTGAGCCACGGAGCTGGAGCTGGGTCCCAAGAGGTGGAGGAGTCCATGCAAGGTTTGGGTTCCTCCACAATTATCTCCAACCCAAGGCACGAAAGTGTGGAAGGTCCACAGCATGTGGACGGGTCCATGAAAGGTCCACGGTGGGTGGAGGGGTCCATGGAAGGTCTGAGGTTCCACCACCAGCCTTCTCCTTGACCTGCAGAGCTGGGTCATGGCACGTGGATGGGTCCACTCAAGGTTTGGGGTGCCACCAGTGACCTCCTCCTTGACCCACAGAACTGGGCCACAGCACGTGCTTGGGTCCACTCAAGGTTTGGGGTCCCACCACCAACCTTCTCCTTGAGCCACAGAGCTGGCGATGGGACACAGCACATGGAATGGGTCCACTCAAGGTTTGGGGTGCCACCAGTGACCTTCTCCTTGACCCACGGAACTGGGTCCCGGCACATGGAACGTGTCCACTCAAGCTTTGGGGTCCCACCAGTGACCTCCTTGACTCATAGAGCTGGGCCACAGAACTTGGTTGGGTCCACTCAAGGTTTGGGGTCTCACCCAAAAGTGACCTTCTCCTTGACCCACAGAGCTGGGCCACAGCACGTGGTTGGGTCCACTCAAGGTTCAGGGTCCCACCACCAACCCTACCCTTGACCCACGGAGCTGGGGATGGGTCACGGGACGTGGAACGGGTCCACTCAAGGTTTGGGGTCCCACCAGTGACCTTCTCCTTGGCCCACAGAGCTGGGCCACAACATGTCATTGGGTCCACTCAAGGTTTGGGGTCCCACCACCAACCTCCTTGACCCACGGAGCTGGGTCATGGCACGTGGATGGGTCCACTCAAGGTTTGGGGTCCCACCACCAACCTCCTTGACCCACGGAGCTGGGGATGGGTCACGGCACGTGGAACGGATGGGTGTGTGGGGGGGGTGTGTGTGTGTGTCCCAGTTGACCCCACCCCGTGTCCTTGTCCCCCCACTCAGGGCGACTCGGGGGGCCCACTGGTGTGCAATGGGGAGCTGCAGGGCGTGGTCTCGTGGGGGATGGCCGTCTGCGGGCGCCGTGGACAACCCGGCGTCTACTCCAACGTCTGCCGGGCCGTGCCGTGGATCCGGAAATACATCGGGAGGCAGTGAGACCCCCCCACGAGGGATTTCACCCACCCCCCCACGAGGGACTTCAAAACACGCCCTCCCCTTTTTTGGGGGGGGGGACGTGGGAGCAATGGGAATTTTCCCAGAATGCACCTGGGGAGCAGTGAAATGGCGGGGCGGGGCGGGGGGGGCCAGATGTGTGAAATAAAAGGAAAGAGTGAAACATGAGTGGGTGTGGGACACACACACACCCCCCCACGCGCACACACACACACACCAGTGGGTGTGGGGGGGTAACTGGTTTTGGGGGGCAGTGGGAATTGGGGGCACTGGGAGCACTGGGGGGGTAACTGGTTTGGGGGGGCAGTGGGAATTGGGGGCGCTGGGGAGGGGGCCCAGTGGGAACTGGGGGGTAACTGGTTTGGGGCGCGGGGGGGGGTCACCATCTGTTTAATGAGCAACATGGAGTGATTTCCCTCGTTAGCGTTAACGAGAAGAACCTCCATTTCCCATCCCCCTCCCCCTCCCCTCCCGCTGCTGGGAAAGGGCCTAATTAATCAGACTAATTAACAAAACTAATTAATAAGACGTCCTGATTAATAAGACTAATTAATGGCGATAATTAATCTTCAGTCCCGATCCGTTCACACCTCCTGGTGCTGGGACTCTCGAGGCAGCCATCGTGGGCTGCGGGGGCCCCGCCCTCATTAATTACCTAATTAATGACTGAATTAATTTGCAGCAGTCAAGGAGCGGAGGCGGCGCTAATTGGGAGGCTCGGGGAAAGCCGAGGTCACCCGTGGGAGGGGCAGTGGGGGGGGCGCTGGGGACACGGGGAGGCGGGGAGAGGGACAGGGCCACCTTGTTAGGGTTAATTAGTCTTCTAATGAGCTGAAGGCGGGGTGGGGGGAGCTCAGCCCACGGGTGACGTCAGCACCCCCGCGGGTGACATCGGTGCCTGCGAGGGGTCTGTCCCCACGGGGGATGCCTGACCTTGGACTTAGGGACATGTGTCGCCCCTCCGCTGGTGACATCAGCACCCCCACGAGTGACATCAGCACTTCCACAGGTGACAATAGCGCCTGCGAGGGGTCTATCCCCACTCGTGACACGTGACCTTGGACTTGGGGACACGTGTCCCCCTCCCACGGGTGACATCAGCCCCCCCCCCCCATGGGTGACATCACCACCCCCACGGGTGACATGGGTGCCTGCAAGGGGTCTGTTCCCACAGGGGACACGCCAGGGTGGGGGGTGTGGCTAGGGGGGAGTGGGCGTGGTTGGGGAAAGGCACCGCCCCCTCACCCCCGATGCCCCTCCTCCAAGTGGATCACCCCGCCCCTCACCCCCTTAGCCCCACCCCCCATTTAAAGGTTCCCTTAGCCCCACCCCCTCATTAGGGTTCCTGTAACCCCGCCCCCTTTGACTCCACCCCTTCCTTCCCATTCCCCTTAACCCCACCCCCTTCTAAATGTCCCCTTAGCCCCGCCCCATTGGGGGGCACTTGGCCCCTCCCCCTCTTTAGGGTCCCATTAACTCCGCCCCCCTTTGACCCCCACCCCCTTATTTCCCCGTTCCCTTTAGCCCCGCCCCTAATTTGGGATTCCCCCTTAACTCCACCCCCCGACCTCACGTGACCCCACAGTGGGAGGGGCCTGCAGGAAGGGGGGTAGCCCCAACACCCCCCCCCCCCCCCCCCCCGCAGAGAAGCAAAGGATTGTGGATCGTTTGGGGCTGCCTGGAGGTGACCTGGGAGGGGCACTGGGACATACTGGGAAGCAGAGGGAGGATCAGATAGGTGTGGGGGTGAACTGGGGGGCACTGGGGAGGTCAGGGAGGGCACTGGGGGGCACTAAGAAGGTCAGGGAGGGAACTGGGGGGCACTGGGAAGGTCAGGGAGGGCACTGGGGGGCACTGAGAAGGTCAGGGAGGGCACTGGGGGGCACTGGGGAGGTCAGGGAGGGCACTGGGGGGCACTGAGAAGGTCAGGGAGGGCACTGGGGGGCACTGGGGAGGTCAGGGAGGGAACTGGGGGGCACTGGGGAGGTCAGGGAGGGAACTGGGGGCACTGGGGAGGTCAGGGAGGGCACTGGGGGGCACTGGAAAGGTCAGGGAGGGCACTGGGGGCCACTGGGGAGGTCAGGGAGGGCACTGGGGGACACTGGGAAGGTCAGGGAGGGCACTGGGGGGCACTGAGAAGGTCAGGGAGGGCACTGGGAAGGTCAGGGAGGGCACTGGGGGGCACTGGGAAGGTCAGGGAGGGAACTGGGGGGCACTGGGGAGGTCAGGGAGGGAACTGGGGGGCACTGGGAAGGTCAGGGAGGGCACTGGGGGGCACTGGGAAGGTCAGGGAGGGAACTGGGGGGCACTGGGGAGGTCAGGGAGGGAACTGGGGAGGTCAGGGAGGGCACTGGGGGGCACTGGGGAGGTCAGGGAGGGCACTGGGAAGGTCAGGGAGGGCACTGGGGGGCACTGGGGAGGTCAGGGAGGGCACTGGGGGGCACTGAGAAGGTCAGGGAGGGAACTGGGGGGCACTGGGAAGGTCAGGGAGGGAACTGGGGGGCACTGGGAAGGTCAGGGAGGTCCTAGAGGAGCTCGGTGAGGGTGCGCTGGGATGCCTTGCGGTGTACTGGGACATCCTGGGAGGCCCCAGGGACACTGAGATGCAAACTGGGAGGCGCTGGGAAGCGCTGGGGCAAACTGGGAGGCGCTGGGAAACCCTGTGCAGCACTGAGATGATGTGCTGGGACGCTCTGGAAGGCAGTGGGACGTACTGGTTTGTACGAGGAGGCACTGGGATACACTGGGAAGCACAAGGATGCAATGGGAGCCCCTGGGTGGCACTGGGAGGACCCGGGAGAAGCTGGATTGAACTGGGAGGCACTGGGATGCTCCAGGAAGCCCCTGGAGGTACTGGGAAGGAGTGGGAAGCCCCTGGAGGTACTGGGAAGGAGTGGGAGGTAGGTGGGATGCCCAGAAGGGGCACACCGGGAAGGCACTGGGAGGCCCCAGGAGACACTCGGAGGCACTGGGATGCCTTGAAAGGCACTGGGAGGCAGTGGGGGGGGGACTGAGGAGGCACTGGGGGGAGCTGGAAGGCCCTGTGGGGGCTCTGGGAGGCACTGGGAAGTTACTGGGAAGGCACTGGGATGCCCTTGGAAGTGACTGGGGGGGGGCACTGGGAGTCTCTGGAGAGTCCCTGGGAAGCACCGGGAGGCCTTTGGAAGTTCCTGGGAAGGCACTGAGGGGCACTGGGAGGAACTGAAACGGCCTGGGAAGCCTTGGAAAGTTACTGGGAAGCATTGGGAGGCGCTGGGAAGGCACTGGGAGGCCCTTGGAAGTTCCCGGGAAGACATCAAGAGGGACTGGAACGCCCCGGGAAGGCACCGGGTGGCTCTGGCACCGCCCCGGGATGGGTGTGGCTGGAGGTGGCCCCGCCCCCTCCCGGTCAGGCCCCGCCCCTCGGCCAGGCCCCCGCCCCCCCCCCCCCGTCCAGGCGGGGCCCCCCGCGGGGATTTAAGGGGCCCGGCCCCGCGCCCCGCACCCTCCTCTTCCTCCTCTTCCTCCCGCCGCCATGGAGCGCCTCCTGCCGCTGCTGCTGCTGGCCACCGGTGGGGGCACTGGGGGGGGGCGCTGGGGGGCTGCTGGGGGGCGCTGGGAGGCACTGGGAGGGTGCTGAGGGGCACTGGGAGGGTGCTGGGGGGTGCTAGGAGGTACTGGGAGGATGCTGGGGGGCACTGGGAGGCTGCTGGATGGCGCTAGGGGACACTGGTAGGGTGCTGGGGGGCACCGGGATGGCACTGGGAGTGTGCTGGGGGGTGCTAGGAGGTGCTGAGGGGCACTGGGAAGGTGCTGGGGGGTGCTAGGAGGCACTGGGAGGGTGCTGGGGGGCACTGAGAAGGTGCTGGGGGGCACTGGGAAGGTGCTCGGGGGTGCTAGGAGGCACTGGGAGGGTGCTGGGGGGCACTGGAGAGGTGCTGGGGGGCACTGGCAGGGTGCTGGGGGGCACTGGGAAGGTGCTGGGGGGTGTAGAAGCCACTGGGGACTTCTGGGGGTTGCTGGGGGGCATTGGGTGGGTGCTGGGGGGCACTGGGGGGCTGCTGGGGGGTGCTAGGACATACTGAGGGGCACTGGGAGGGTGCTGGGGAGCACTGGGAAGGTGCTAGGAGGGTTCTAGGAGGCACTGGGAGGGTGCTGGGGGGTGCTGGGGGGCATTGGGAGGGTGCTGGGGGGCACTGGGGGGTGTTGGAAGGGTGCTGAGGGGCACTGGGAGACACTGGGAGGGCACTGTGGGGCACTGGGAGGGTGCTGAGGGGCACTGGTGGGCACTGGGAGGGTGCTGAGAGGGGGGGACTACAGGACACTGGGGAGCACTGGGAGGGCATTGGGGGGGTGCTAAGGGGTGCTGGGAGGGTACTGGGGAGCACGGGGTGGCACTGGGAGAGCACTGGAAGGCACTGGGAGGGCTTTGGAGGGCACTGGGGGTGTCAGGAGGGCACTGGGAGGCACTGGGGGTGAAGTGGGGGGGCACTGGGAGGGAATTGGTAAGCACAAGAAGGTGCTGGGGGGGGGACACCAGGAGGGAACTGGGGAGCACTAGAGGGTGCTGGGAGGGTACTGGGGGGGGGGGGCACTGGTTTGAGGAGGGGGATTGGAAGGTACTGGGAGGACTCAGGAGGCACTGGGGAGTAGTGGGAAGGGGGTGGAGGTGAACTGGGGACACTGGGAGGCAGTGGGAGTGCACTGGTGTGAGTGGGAGAGGAAGAGGAGGTGCTGGGGGGCACTGGGAGGCAGTGGCAGCACTGGGGGAGTGTAGAAGGGAATGAGGAGGGTCCTGGGAAGGAGCTGGAGGGGAACTGGGAGCACTGGGGCACGCTGGTGGCACGTGGGAGGGAAGGGAGAAGCACTGGGAGGGAGCTGGGGCGATCTGGGGGCGCTGGGAGAGAACTGGAGGCTACTGGGAAGACCTGGCAGGCAGCAGAAGGAAATAGTGTGACGCTGGGAGGCACTGGGGGCCACGGAGAGGGAACGAGGCGGCGTTGGGCAAGAACTGGGAGGCACTGGGAGGGCACTGGGGTAAACTGGGAGGCAGTGAGTGGGAAGCGGTAGGTCAGTGGGGATACTGGGAGGGAAAGGGGAGAGCTGGGAGGACGCGGGGGCGACACGGGGAGATGTTGGGTGGCCCAAGAGGGAACGGGGCGGGAACTGGGAGGCACTGGGAGAGAACTGGGAGGAACTGGGAGGGAACTGGGAGGCACTGGGAGAGAGTGGGTGGGAAGCAATAGGTCACTGGGGATACTGGGAGGGAAAGGGAGAGCTGGGACAACGCGGGGGTGACACGGGGAGATGTTGGGTGGCCCAAGAGGGAACTGGGAGGGAACTGGGAGACACTGGAAGGGCACTGGGGGACACTCGTAGGCGGGGTGTGGGAAGCGGTAGGTCAGTGGGGATACTGGGAAGGAAAGGGAGAGCTGGGAGGACGCGGGGGTGACACGGGGAGATGTTGGGTGGCCCAAGAGGGAACGGGGCGGGAACTGGGAGGCACTGGGAGAGAACTGGGAGGAACTGGGAGGCACTGGGAGGAACTGGGAGGGAACTGGGAGGCACTGTGAGACAGTGGGTGGGAAGCAATAGGTCACTGGGGATACTGGGAGGGAAGGGGAGAGCTGGAAAGATGCGGGGGTGACACGGGGAGATGTTGGGTGGCCCAAGAGGGAACTGGGCGGGAACTGGGAGGCACTGGGAGAGAACTGGGAGGGAACTGGGAGGCACTGGGAGACAGTGGGTGGGAAGCAATAGGTCACTGGGGATACTGGGAAGGAAAGGGAAAGCTGGGACGACATGGGGGTGACACGGGGAGATCTTGGGTGACCTAAGAGGGCAACTGGGAGGCAACTGGGAAGGGCTGAGCCCCATCTCCGCTCCCCCCAGTGGCCGTGGGGGACGAGAACCGGATCGTGGGGGGCCAGAGCTGCCAGAAGAAGCGTCACCCCTACCAGGTGGTGCTGCTGGGCCCCCAGAAGAACATCCACTGCGGTGGGGTCCTCCTGGGGAGGTCCTGGGTGCTGACGGCTGCCCACTGTGACACCAAGAGGTGGGGGGGGGCAGGGCCCTCGCTGGCCACGGGCTACTGGGAGGAGGGGTGGAGAAGTCCAGGGGGAGCTGGAGGTGGGCGTGGGGAGGACCTGGGCGGGGGGTCATCTCAATGGGGGTTGGCCACCTCAACCATCTAGGGGGGGCTTCCAGAATGATCATCTACTGGGTTGGCCACCACAACCATCAGGTGGGCTCCCAGAATGACCATTTAATGATTTGGCCACCACAATCATCAGGTGGGCTCCCAGAATGACCATTTAAGGATTTGGCCACCACAACCATCTAGATGATCTCCCAGAATGACCATCTAACGGGGTTGGCCACCATAACAATCAGGTGGGCTCCCAGAATGCCCATTAAATGGCGTTGGCCACCACAACCATCTTATTTGGCTTCCAGAATGCCCATTTAATGGGTTTGGCCACCACAACCCTCTTGTTGGGCTTCCAGGATGACCACTTAATGGGTTTGGCCACCAGAAACATCAGGTGGGCTCCCAGGATGACCATCTCACAGGTTTGGCCACCAAAACCACGCAGGTGCCTTCTCCTGAGCGTGGTCAGGAGCTCCTCAAAGCCCGGGGCTCCTCTGTCCTGAGGTTCTGCAGGGTCATGATGGCATCTCCCCACAAACCCTGGAGGTCTCTCCCTTTGGCCACTTGAGGCAACCAAGTGGTGGCCACGTGGGTCTCAAGAGAGGTCTCCTCTCCCCATTCTGGACCAGACCACGTTGGGTGGAGGGGACAAACCAGTTCGAAGAGCTCGTGGCAGCTGGTGGGACTGGCCTGGCCTGAGCCCCTGGGAGGACCACGGAGGCCACGGTGGCCCTCAGGCCATCTCCTCGAGGTAGAAACGGGGCCATTCCTCCATTTTTTGGGTGGCCCAAGCTTCTCCTGGCTGAGTACTGACACACAGGGAGGAGCTGTCAGAGAAATGGGGTGAAAAAAAAAAAAAACCAAAAAAAAACAAAAAAACAATTTTGGGGTTTGGTGGGGCCCTGGAGAGCAGCTGATCGAGGTCCTCAGGTTGGAGCTGGTTTCTCCTCCACCTTGAGTTGAAGAAAAGAGGAGCCACCTCGCTTTGGCCAACTCTCCAGTTGACCCGTTGGGTGACTTTAGGCTCCGTTGCCTCAGTTTCTGCCCCCCCCTCCCCCCACCCCCCCTCCCGGGTTGAAGATCCTCAAGGTAGGAGGAGAAACTTCTCCTGATCTCCACCGCGTGGACCTTCTCCTGGGAAGCGCCAGGTCCACTGGAGAACCTCACCGTGGTCCTTTCTCCATCCCACCCCGTTGGCCAGCTCCATCCCCATCCGCATGGGCGACCACAGCTTGAGGACCAAGGAGGGGACGGAGCAGTGCGTCAACTCGGCCAAGGCCTTCATCCACCCCGACTACAACCCCACCACCCATGATGGGGACATCATGCTCCTGAAGCTCCAGAAGCCCGTCCGCTTCACCGACCACGTCCAGCCGGTGGCCCTGCCCCAGCGTTGTCCTCCCCCCAACACCGAGTGTGTCGTCTCGGGCTGGGGCAGCACCAGCAGCCCTGAAGGTAGGTGGAAAGATGGCGGGGGGAGGTCCTTGAGGGTCTTGGGGACATCTCGGGGTCTTGGGGACATCTCAAGGTCTTGGGGACATCTCAGGGTCTTGGAGACATCTCGGGGTCTCGGGACCATCTCGGGGTCTCGGGACCATCTCGAGGTCTTGGGACCATCTCAAGGTCTTGGGACCATCTCGAGGTCTTGGAGACATCTCGGGGTCTTGGGGACATCTCAGGGTCTCGGGACCATCTCGAGGTCTCAGGACCATCTCAGGGTCTTGGGAACATCTCGGGGTCTTTGGAACATCTCGAGGTCTCGGGGACATCTCAGGGTCTTGGGATATTTCAGGGTCTTGGTGATATCTTGGCGTCTTGGGGACATCTCAATGACATGGGATCATTTCAGGGTCTTGAGACCCTCTCAGCATCTTGGGGACATCTTGGCATCTTGGGGACATCTCAGGGTCTTAGGACCTTCTCAGTGTCTTGGGGACATCTCAGAGTCTTGGAGATATCTTGGCATCTTGGGGACATCTCAGTGATTTGGGACCATCTCGGGGTCCTGTGACCTTCTTGGGGTCTTGGGGACATCTCAGTGACTTGAGACCTTCTCAGGATCTTGGGACAACTCAGGGTCTTGGAGATAACTCGGCATCTCAGGGACATCTCAGCAATTTGCGACCATCTTGGGATCTTGGGATCTTCTCAGCATCTTGGGGACATCTCAGTGATTTTGGATCTTCTCGGGGTCTTGTGACCTTCTCAGGGTCTTGGGGACATCTTGGGGTCTTGGGGACATCTCAGGGTCTTAGAGATATCTTGACATATTGGGGACATCTCAGTGACTTGGGAATATCTCGGGGTCTTGGGGACATCTCAGCGATCTGGGACCATCTCAGGCTCTTGGGGACATCTCGGGGTTTTGGGACCATCTCGGGGTCTTGGGGACATATTGGCATCTTGGGGACATCTCGGCATCTTGGAGATATCTCAGCATATTGGGGACATCTTGGGGACATCTGAGGGTCTTGGGACATCTCAGGGTCTTGAGGAAATCTCAGCATCTTGAGGACATCTCAGTGACTTGGGACCATGTCAGTGTCTTGGGGACATCTTGGGGATCTTGGGGAAATCTGAAGGTTTTGGGAATATCTCAACATCTTGGGGACATCTCAGTGTCTTGGGGAAATCTCAAGGACTTGGAGACATCTCAGCATCTTGGGACCATCTCAATGTGTTAGGGACATCTCAGCGTCTTGGGGACATCTCGGTATCTTGGGACATCTCAACAACTTGGCACCAACTCAACATCTCAGGATGATCTCGGCATCTTGGGGACATCTTGGCGTCTTGGGACCATCTCAACATCTTGGGGCCATCTCAGCTTCTTGAGGACGTTTCAGTGTCTTTGAGACATCTCAGCTCTCAAAGACGGGGACACCTCCGCATCTTGGGACCATCTCAACGTCTCGAGGACATCTCAGCATCTTGGGACCACCTCAACATCTTGGGTCCACCTCCCCCCGTGCTCCCCAGGGGTGGCTGCAGACATCTCCATTCTCCACCAGTTCCCCACCACAACCCTAGGAGACTCCAAAATACCTCCCAAGGCGGCCATCTTGAGACCACCATCCACGGCAGGCAGGTGGGGGGGGGGAGGAAGTGGGGGCTGGTGTCACCTTCGGGTGGGGCCCGTCCCCTGACCGTGTCCCCACCGCGTGTCCCCAGGGTACTTCCCCGACGTTCTCCAGTGCGCCATGGTCTACACCATCTCCAACGAAGAGTGCGCCAAGCTCTACCCCAAGGGCATCACCAAGAACATGCTCTGCGCCGGCGTCATCTCCGGCGGCACCGACTCCTGCCAGGTGGGGTCCTGGGGGGGGTGGGATGGGCTGCCCCACCCTAATGGGTGGGGTGGGTGGAGCCCCACCTCTTCAAGCCCTGCCCACCTGTGGAGATTCCCCCCCAAAATGGCCATTGAGGAGCAGTAGAAGAACCCAATGTGGGGGACGCACGTTGCATTAAGGGATGCACCCCCCCCCCCAACCTCACCCCGGGGGCTATAGGGACCTCCTGGCTTCCATAGGTGCACTGGGTGCTATAGGGACCCTTCCCCGAGCCCCACGCACCCCCAGGTGCTATAGGGGCCCTTCCCCGAGCCCCACGCGCACCCCCGGGTGCTATAGGGACCCTCCCCCGAGCCCCACGCGCACCCCCGGGTGCTATAGGGACCCTCCCCCGAGCCCCATGCACACCCCCAGGTGCTATAGGGACCCTTCCCGGAGCCCCCCGCGCACCCCCGGGTGCTATAGAGACCCTTCCCCAAGCCCCACATGCACCCCTGGCTGCTATAGGGGCCTCTGGGTGTTCTAAGACCCGCCCCCCTTCAAGCATCACACAGCACCCTGGGTGCTCTGTGGACACCCACCCCGCCAATTTCTGGGTGCTATAGGGATCTCTAAGCAGTATAGGGACTTCCTATAGGACCCTCCCCTTACCTGTCCCCAGTGCTTTAGGGGACCCCCAGCATTAGAGGGACCCCCCTGAGGCTGCGCAGCCCCATAGGGGCTATAGGGACCTATAGGCACTGTACAGCCCCACTTGGGTCCTATGGGGACCCTTAGGCTCTATAGGGCCCCCCGCATGCTATAGGGACCCTTAGGTGCTTCAGGGACCACAAGACAACCAACGTATAGCTTTCCGGGTGCTATAGGGGTCCCTGAGGTGTTACAGCCCTGCCTGGGTGCTATAGGGACCCCTAGTTGCTATAGGGATCCTCTTGGTGCCGTAGGGACCACCAAGCACTGTACAGCTCCTCTATGGGCTATAGGGACCCCCACAGCATTAAAGGGACCATAAGGCAACATTGCAGCCCCTCCCCAGGTGCTATAGGGACCCCTGAGCTCTATAGGGACACCTTGGGTGCTATAGGGACTCGCAGGGCATGTATAGTCTTCTTCGTGCTATAGGAGCCCCTAGGCACTATGGGAACCTCCTGGGTACTATAGGACCCCCAGGGTGTTATAGGAAAGCCTGGGTGCTATAGGGACCCCCAAGGACTCAACAGCCCCCCATGGGTGCTATGGGGTCCCCATGGCACTATAGGGATCTCCCCAGTGCTATAGGGACCTCCTGGGCCTCATCTCCAGCACCTTATAAGGCATGGAGGTCTCCATGCCCTGACCCTATAGGATATGGTGGTCTCCATGACTTGACCCTATAGGTTATGGAGGTCTTCATGTCTTGTTCCCATAGGTCATGATGGTCTCCATGCCTTTACCCTATAGAGCATGGTGGTCTCTGTGTCTTGATCCAATAGGGCATGGTGGTCTCAACACCTTGACCCTATAGAACATGGAGGTCTCCATGCCCTGACCCTATAGAACATGGTGCTCCATGCCCTGATCCTATAAGAACATGGTGGTCTCCACGCCCTGCCCCTATAGAACACAGTGGTTTCCACACCCTGATCCTATAGAACATGGTGGTCTCCACGCCCTGCCCCTATAGAACATGGTGGTCTCTATGCCCTGACCCTATAGAACATGGGCTCCGTGCCCTGTTCCCATAGGTCATGGTGGTCTCCATGCCTTGACCCTATAGAACATGGGGATCTCCACACCTTAACCCTGTAGAACATGGGGATCTCCACATCTTGGCCCTATAGAACATGGTGGGCTCCACGCCCTGACCCTATAGAACATGGTGGGCTCCACGCCCTGCCCCTATAGAACACAGTGGGCTCCATGCCCTGTTCCCATAGGTCATGGTGGTCTCGACACCTTGACCCTATAGAACATGGTGGTCTCCATGCCCTGACCCTATAGAACATGGTGGTCTCCACGCCCTGACCCTATAGAACATGGTGGTCTCCATGCCCTGACCCTATAGAACATGGTGGTCTCCACGCCCTGCCCCTGTAGAACATGGTGGTCTCTAGGTGGCCCCCATAGACCGGGCTGGTGCTGGAGGGGGGGTGGGAGGAGGGGGTCCCACCCATGGGTGGGGCGTCCCCTCACGGGGTTCCTTCTCTCCGCCCAGGGTGACTCGGGGGGCCCGCTGGTGTGCGGGGCCGAGCTGCAGGGCATCGTCTCGTGGGGGATGCAGGTCTGCGGCCAGCGCGGCAAGCCGGGCGTCTACACCCGCGTCTGCGAGTACACCGCCTGGATCCACGCCACCATGGGGGGCGACGGCCACGCCTGAACCCCCACGCACCGCCCCCCCCCCCCCCCCCCCAAAAAAAAATTGGAAGAGTCCACACCACCCCTTCCCCACCCCCTCCCAAAACACCAGGGGTCTTCTCCTCACGCCCCAGGGAAGAGCTTCTGGAATAAAGCCCTGCGAAACGTGGCCGCCTTCCACCATCTCGTGGCTCCTCCACGGACACGGGGGGCTGTGGGGCTTTGGGGGGGAGGATGGTGGCCACCGTGGAGGCAGGGGGAACTGGCCCCAGTGGTGAGGGTTGGGGTTGGTGGGTGTGGTGGGCAACCCGTGGCTGCGTCTTCGGGGGGTTGGTGGCCGCGGGCGGCAGCTTCCAGCCACGCGTCTGGTGTGGGGGTGGGCAGCTCGTGGCCGCACGTGTTTGGTGGTGGTGGCCGTGGTGGCAACTTCCAGCCACCTGCCTGGTGTCGGTGGCCATGGTGGGAAACTCGTGGCCACACGCGTCTGGTGTTGGTGGCCATGGTGGGCAACTCGTGGCCACACGCGTCTGGTGTTGGTGGCCATGGTGGGAAACTCGTGGCCACACGCGTCTGGTGTTGGTGGCCATGGTGGGCAACTCGTGGCCACACACATCTGGTGTTGGTGGCCATGGTGGGCAACTCATGGTCACACACGTCTGGTGTTGGTGGCCATGGTGGGCAACTCGTGGCCACACATCTGGTGTTGGTGGCCATGGTGGGCAACTCATGGTCACACACGTCTGGTGTTGGTGGCCATGGTGGGCAACTCGTGGCCACACGTCTGGTGTTGGTGGCCATGGTGGGCAAGTTGTGGCCACACATGTCTGGTGTTGGTGGCCACGATGGGAAAGTTGTGCCCACACGTGTCTGGTGTTGGTGGCCATGGTGGGCACCTCGTGGCCACACACGTCTGGTGTTAGTAGCCATGGTGGGCACCTCGTGCCCACACGTGTCTGGTGTTGGTGGCCATGGTGAGCAACTCGTGGCCACACCTGTCTGGTGTTGGTGGCCATGGTGGGCAACTCGTGACCACACGTCTGGTGTCGGTGGCCATGGTGGGCAACTCGTGGCCACATGTCTGGTGTTGGTGGCCATGGTGGGCAACTCATGGCCACACATGTCTGGTGTTTGTGGCCACGGTGGGCAAGTTGTGCCCACACACGTCTGGTGTTGGTGGCCATGGTGGGCAGCTCATGGCCACGGTTATCTGGTGCTGGTGGCCATGGTGGCAACCTCCAACCACCTGCCATGGTTGTGGCCATGGTGGTAAGCTGCAACCACACGTCTTGTGTTGGTGGCCATGGTGGGCAACTTGTGGCCGCACGTGTTTGGTGGCGGTGGTGGCCATGGTGGCAACTTCCAGCCACCTGCCTGGTGTTGGTGGCCACGGTGGGAAACTCATAGCCATGGGTATGTGGTGCTGGTGGCCATGGTGGCAACCACCAACCACACATCTGGTGTTGACAGGCAACCCGTGCCCAGGTCTGGAAGACACATGTCAAAGTCTGAAGGACACGTGTGTCCAGATGTGGAGAAAACAGCTGGCAATCCATGGCCACACATGTCCAGGTCTGGAGAACACATGTGTCCATGTCTGGAGGACACGTGTCCAGGTCTGGAGGACATGTATGTCCAGGTCTGCAGAACACGTGTGTCCAGGTATGGAGGACATGTGTGTCCAGGTCTGGTGAACACAGCTGGCAATCCATGGCACATGTATCCAGGTCCGGAGGACACGTGTGTCCAGGTGTGGAAAACACACATGTTGAGGTGTGGAGGACACATGTCCAGGTTTGGAGGACACGTATGTCCAGGTCTGGTGAACACAGCTGGCAATCCATGGCCAGACATGCTCAGATCTGGAGAACACGTGTGTCCAGGTCTGGAGAACATGTGTCCAGGTGTGGAGAACAGGTGTCCAGATCTGGAGGGTACATGTGTCCAGGTCTGGTGAACACAGCTGGCAATTCATGGCCACATGTGCCCAGGTCTGGAGAACACGTGTCCAGGTCTGGAGAACACGTGTGTCCAGGTCTGGAGAACACGTGTGTCCAGGTCTGGAGAACACGTGTCCAGGTTTGGAGGACACGTATGTCCAGGTGTGGAGGACATGTGTCCAGGTCTGGTGAACACGTGTCCAGGTCTGGAGGACATGTATGTCCAGGTCTGGAGAACACGTGTGTCCAGGTCTGGAGAACATGTGTCCAGGTGTGGAGGACACGTATGTCCAGGTGTGCAGGACATGTGTCCAGGTCTGGTGAACACAGCTGGCAATTCATGACCACACGTGCCCAGGTCTGGAGGACATGTATGTCCAGCTCTGGAGAACACGTGTGTCCAGGTCTGGAGGACACGTATGTCCACAGCAAGAGGACACACACATCCAAGCCCGGAGGACACACGTGTGCAGCTCGGGAAGCCACAGCTGCTGACCCACCACCACGTGTGTCCAGCCTGGTGGCCCCAGCTGACACGTCACCACCACGTGTGTCCGTCCCTGAAGGCCACGCCCAGCACCGCGTGGGCCCACGTGTGTTCCCCCCCCGCAACCACGGTCCCACCACCACCTGCTGGTGTCACCCCCCCCCCTCCCTGCTCCCTGGGGGTTATCGCGGGCTGTGTAAACCAGGAGTAAAGCAGGGAGATGGCTCCTCCTGGGAGTGCGTGGGCGCCCTAATTGGTGCCAATTAAGACTTGGCTAACGAGGAGGCCGCTAACGAGGCCCCCCACCGAGAGAACCAGTTGGGCCAAGCCCGCGAAGCCGCACCGCCCTGTTTACACCACTTACACCCAGCGGGACTGCTTGGGATTTGCACAGAGAGAGGAGGGGGGAAGCCCCGCCCTTCCCACCTCCGGCCACGCCCCCTCTCCATGAAGCCCCGCCCTGCTGAGGGTGCAAGCGGCACAGGGTGACGGCACCCTCTAGCGCGAGTGGGCACCCAGGGGAGTGCACAGGGAGATAAGTGCGTGTTGTGGGCGTGCGTCGCGGATGCGTGGTGTGGATGTGTGGGCGTGTGTCATGGATGTGTGGGCGTGTGCCATGGATGTGGAGATGTGTGTCATGGACATGCAGACATGTGTCATGGATGTGTGAACACGTGTCATGGATGTGTAGACATGTCATGGTAGTGTGGACGCGTGTCATGGATGGGTGGGCGTGTGTCACGGATGTGTGGGCGTCACGGATGTGTGGGTGTGTGTCACGGATGTGGAGATGTGTGTCATGGACATGCAGACGTGTCATGGATGTGTGAGCACATGTCATGGATGTGTAGACGTGTCATGGTAGTGTGGACGCGTGTCATGGATGGGTGAGCGTGTGTCACGGATGTGTGGGCACGTGTCGTGGATGTGGGGATGTGTGTCATGGATGTGCAGACATGTGTCATGGATGTGTAGACATGTGTCATGGTAGTGTGGACGTGTGTAATGGATGTGTGGGCATGTGTCACGGATGTGGAGATGTGTGTCATGGACATGCAGACATGTGTCATGGATGTGTGAGCACGTGTCATGGATGTGTAGACATGTGTCATGGTAGTGTGGATGCATGTCATGGATGTGTGGGTGTGTGTCACAGAAGTGTGGGCATGTGTCATGGGTGTGTAGACATGTGTCATGGACATGCAGATGTGTGTCATGGACATGCAGACACGTGTCATGATGTGTGGACGTGTGTCACAAGTGTGGGCATGTGTCATGGCTGTGTGGTTGTGTCATGGACGTGTGTCATGGATGTGCTGGACACGTGAACATGTGGACACGTGTTGTGGCCATGTGGATGCGTGTTTGTGTTGTGGACATGTCCTGTGGACTTGTTTCATGGATGTGTGGATGCGTAGATATGTTGTGGACATGTGGACATGTGTCGTGGACACGTGGACGTGTTTCATGCATGTGTAGACATGTCGTGGACGTGTGGACCTGTCATGCACATGTGGACGTGTCATGGAGGTGTGTTGTCATGCAGGGGTCTGCGTGCACACGCGTGTGCTGACCACTGTCACATGGACGCGCCATGAAAGCGCCGGAGAACCAGGTGGAACGGCGCCGCTCTTCGCTCCCGCCCTCACAGCCGGCCAGCCAATCACATTGGGCGCCAGAGTGGGCTGGCCAATCGGCTGGTCTCCAGCACTGAGTGGCCAATTGGCATATGCCGATGGCTTCATTCGGTTGGCCAATCAGCACGTCCAGGTCTCCAAAGCCAATTGGCCAATCAGTACACCCAGATCTCAAAGCTGATTGGCCCATCAGGATGCCCAGATGTCCAAAGCCAGTTGGCCAATCAGCACGCCCGGATCTCCAAAGCCGATTGGCCAATCAGCATGCACAGATCTCAAAGCTGATTGGCCAATCAGCATGCACAGATCTCAAAGCTGATTGGCCAATCAGCACAAGGTGGTCTTGAAAGCTGATTGGCCAATCAGCAAGCCTGGACCTGCAAAACTGATTGGCCAATCAGCACACTCAGATCTCAAAGCTGATTGGCCAATCAGCATGCCCAGATCTCAAAGCCGATTGGCCAATCAGCACAAGGTGGTCTTGAAAGCTGATTGGCCAATCAGCAAGCCTGGACCTGCAAAGCTGATTGGCCAATCAGCACACTCAGATCTCAAAGCTGATTGGCCAATCAGCATGCCCAGATCTCAAAGCTGATTGGCCAATCAGCACAAGGTTCTCTCCAAAGCCGATTGGCCAATCAGCACAAGGTTCTCTCCAAAGCCGATTGGCCAATCAGGACGTGCCGATCTCCAACACCGGCCCACGGGCCTTGACGGCTCGCCGAGCCTCTTGGCCAATCACACGTGCCGGCCCTCTCCCCCCCCCAAGCTGTTAGCCAATGAGCGCATCCCTCCTCACCCACGCCCCATCGCCCCGCCCACCCTGCCCCAAGCCCTCAGCCAATCAGATCGCGTCCTCCCTCCACCAATCCCCGGCCTCGCTTCCCCCTTCCCCCTTCCAAGGCCGGTTGACCTCCCCTCTTCCAAGCTCATCGCCAACCGGCCAACCGGCGCCGCTCCCCTCCGCCGGCCGCCGCCCACCCGCCAGCCAACCGACCAATCAGCACGCACCGACGCCCTCCCCAAGGTCAAGGTGGCGCCGGGGGATTAAGGGAAGGTGGCGACGAAGCGTCTTCGCGCCCCGGGGCGGGTCCCGACGCCGTTATAA